AAAATAAAATGATGTATTTGACTTTTTAGGTATCCATTCAAAATTGCAGAAGGTTTTAGGTTTTCTAAAACAGTATGCCATAATAGTAACAATGAGAATCTAATAAACATAAAATGGCTTTTTAATTTCTTGATTGAAATATCCTCCCAGCAGCCACCTTATTGCAGCGCAGGTCAGGAAGCAAGTTTCTCTTTCCACCTGCTATACTAATCAAACGAATTTATTCTGATTAGAAGCATAATATGGACAGGACAGCACAAAAAACATTTTTAGGTCTCTGGGGTCTCTTTTTAACTTAGATTTTCAAATAAAATGACAAAATACTGGGATATCCACCTACACACCTAGCAAACTGATAATATTCAGTTTGATATTGTATAGAAATTGAGTTCGTTTTTTTACATCTGAACATTCTCCAGCATATTAGTAAAAGCCATAGTTAGCCCAAAATACTCCCCTGTATGTGAAACACCACTTTCATATCGTGCCAATTCTAACAAAGTAACCAAAGAGATCTGCTCTCTCACTGAAGTACAATGGTAGATCCAGGGATGGGGGGGATACGAGAGGAATTGGAAAAATATCCTTGTAGAGTTGAAAAAAGCTTCGGACGTGTGAACTCTGTGTTTATTTATTTATGATCACTGCCTGAGCTTTCAGTTGCAAAGGTAATGAGCCACTCTGGGTTTTTGAGGACAATGGTGGTAATTGTGTGTGTGAATTTTACCTTTGGTGTGTTTGATTATTAACATTTGTTCCCTTGAATCAGATTGGCTGATGAAAAAAGCTTTTTTGGGCTTGTCGAATTGGCAGAGCAGTAAAGAGCACTGAACAAGCCAAGTCAACCCAATCTACGACTCTTTTTCTTCAAAATGTACTGTAATGGTTTCAGCATGAATTAAATGTTACTCGTTGTGATGGTCCTGAATTGTGATAATGGAACTTATATGATGAGGGAAGATGGAACAAAATGACATAAACACACCGTGTTTAGGTCTCTCAATATTGTAATTGTACAAAGGAAAGTTTGGTTGATCTAAAAAAAGTATCTTGTTAATGAAATAAAAGGTTTATCTTAATTTTTATCCATTTTGGGGGGTTTTGTTTGAATTTTTTGAATACTTTTTGTTAAATCAACCAAAATTTCCTTTGTACGACTATTTTTCTACTAATCAACTAAAATTTCCTTGTATAACTATAATATTGAGAGGTCTAAGAAAATTGAAAAACATGCCAAATTACAAATATGAAGGGGTGAAATATATGAATAGCATAATGGTAAATAAATGTCATATTCATAAAAATTAAAAGCATAAACTTCTCTCAGATAAAACCAATATAACTTAATATTTTAGAATTAATTCAATTAACTTTTTTACAATCTACAATTCGGAAAATTATCTAATATCTCATTGATATTTTTCCAATTTTCCCCCCAATTCTTTCTCAATTCATCAATATCATAATGAAAGGTACATCTCATTGTTTTTATAGCTATTTAAATATGGTAGGGTCGAGTCAACTAAGGGTTGAGTTGGCAGAGGGTTGAGATAACTTGGGGTCGACTTGACTAAGGGTTGACTTGACTTGGGGTTGAGTTGACCAGTTACCGTCGAATTCAGTTCACCATATCGATACCAATCCTTTCCATAATTGTTCTGATGTGTGCAAAATTTCATTAATGTCACTTGTCTAGTTTAGGAGATATTGCGTACTTCAATGGTCTCCTTTTTTCTAGTCGCCCTGTATATCAATATTAGAATCAGGCCAGACATTGTTAAAATGGTTAACTAGTTGTGCAAATTTGTTTTGGGAGTCTTAAATGCCTAGAAAATGTTTTCAATTTTTAATACTATTGTTTATTAACCGGTATCAGCATTTCACAGATCAATCTACCTTGATTTATTATCCGTCAAAGTAACCATGTGTCTACGTCAAAGTAACATTGGTATTATAATGGTCTTACATCAATTTAGTCCATTTGTCACTCCTATACATCCAATAGTGAACCTAGAAATTGTTAAAAGTACGATGTTTTATGGTCGATTTATGATAATAAGGGTTTTCTGAAGTGATTTCACTGGGTTGCCAAAAAAGTTTGTTTGGGGAAAAAATTATATAGGCTGATTAGGGAGGGGTGCAATCGCTTAACATGGCGTTGACTATTGACTTAGCGTTGGGATACCACCATATACCTAGTATGTTACCATGGGAATAGATACAAAAATTTTCCCAAAAGTTATTTTTTTGGCAACCCAGCTAAATCACTCCAATAATCCCTAATGATAGTATTTACGCAGAAAAACATCATACTTTTAACTATTCATACGTTCAGAAAATGACAAATGGACTAATGTAACAAAAGTCAGTGACTAAATGAATGAATAACTGCTTCGTTAAACGATAAATTCAAAACTGAAGGCATTTTCCAAAGCCTAGATATATCGTCTAACGTTGTGCCAAATTATAAATTGCGACTTAACTTATAAGTAGGTTTAAATCGAGAAAACAAAAGATCTTACCGAAATCGAACTCCGGAAGTTGAGCCATCTTGTTACATTGACGTTCTGTCAAGGTAACTAGTTGTGGAACAGTGATAAATTAATAACAGAAAACTCTGATTTGTAAATTGTTGCAGCTACTAGTATATATATTAAATGATAGTGAAATAAGTACATACATTTTCACATTCAGAGAAAAATCTACACTTTTGAATTTTAAATTCAGAAAAGTGAAAATTATTCATCCACCCATTTAGACAAAGGGAAATAATTTCTGTGTTGTGTTCTACATGAGCATGTCATGTTTGTGCTAGCTAGATGTTTGCTTATATAATATAAAGCATTTTACAATATCTAAAGGATTCAAATTTTTACATTACAGTAACTGGCAAGTTTCAGACCAATGTGTACAAGCCAAAATGATAACATACAACATCTATTTTAGGCATTACAAATTGTTTCATAAAAGCTGAATACAAGTTTTAGAATGTAAACTGCAGGTTTAGTTGATAAAATATACTCCTCAAAAAAGTTAAGGACCAGTGGTTTTCCTCATAGGCTTACATGTTGAGCCCCATATTTGTTTGAACGACTATTTTCTAAGTGTGGAACAAAAGAAAACCCAATAAAGTAAATAAATAAATCAGTATCCTGATTCTATTCTCTATTAAGTCTGCAAATTTCAAATATCTCCATTACAATAGGTCAAAATTGATAAATTTCATGAAATTTAACAAATATGGCAGATCCCATGTTAAACAAATGGGGGTTAACATGTAAACCACTGAAGAAAACCACTGGTCCTTAACTTTTTTCGAGGAGTATTACAGATCAAATATTACAGACTGACCGAGCATCCATGTATTACTCATGCATTTAATATTTGTTGAGCATTTAGAAGGCATATTCAAGAGTAGTTAACATCAATTAGGACTTTTTGTAAGAGGCTGGGTCAATATTGGAATATCCATAAAAAAGTATGATGAAAGTCAAAATGAGTAAAGTGTACAACCCCAGCATACAAGATCTGCATCCACATTACAAATGTGTTGAGTATACTTAATGATCATATCATGACTGAAAAAACAGAACTTTCAGAAGTTGAGCCCTGGGAAACTAAATATCAATGTCCATCAGACCATCACTTAATTAAATTGACCCAGCCCCTAAGGAATGTGAAAACAGAATTCATAAAATAGAGAAAACTCCTAATAGTGTCACTCAACAGTAGTAATTCATCAATATCCTCAACCACTAGGCTACATCATTGAATGAACAATGTAGAACATCAGTTTTGGTCCCCAGTATAACTAATAATATTGAAATTGTTTTACAAAGATCATACTGCAAAATGCTTGCATACTTTTGGGTAGGCTAAATGATCTACAATATCAATGGGAGTTTCAATGTCTCTAATATCACAATTTCACAGGGTTTTTAGAGAATTTTTAATGCATCATTTAAGCTTTTTTAAACTTTCAGTACATTATAGAACTTTGTTATGTTGAATGCAGTACTCTTGTTTTTGTATTTTTGTCTAACATTTTAGTTTCTTATACTTTATATTGTTCTTGCAACATTTTATTATATTGAATTAATGGAGGACTACTGTACTCTCGGTAATTTTAGCGCGCTACTTTATTTCACGAGTTTTGGAAAATTCGTGAAATATAATAGCCGCGAAATTTCTCCAATTTTAATTCATGAAATTTTAAGAAAATTCCCAGGGATTTCAACGTTGACAATATTTTCGTCCAGCGCTGGGCGATAGAAACTTGACATTTTGAGTCGAAAAGTCTAAGTCAAAAGAGTGATCCTGTATGACAAATCCACGGAAACTAAAAGTTTCAAAAACTGAAAATATAATAGCCGTGAAATTTCAAAATGCCAAAAACGCGAAATATAATAGCGTCAAATATTAGTGGGAGTACAGTATTTAGATGTTATGAAATACACCAAGGAGGATTGGCTCCCAGATTTAACCTTGACCTTGATCAATGACACATTTGGAATGTTGTTATTTTCTGACATTATAATTGACTATAAATTCATAATTAGCAATCCAAGATTTGAACTAATATTTTGATCAATTCTTGTGTGTTTGAAATTTTTTGTTTGGAAATTAGTCCGGAACTTACAATAGGAATTCTGAGGTGAAAAAATGGCCGCTGTTTGATATCGAATTTTTATATTCACGACTTGATTCCATATATGGCAGAATATCGAGATGGAACCCTGGAAGTCAATCCTCCCATGTGAAGAGAACACCTATATCATTTTGAAAACAGATCCAACCCCAAAATAAAAGTTCCATATTTATACAATTCTATGTGCAATAAAATATATTGTATATTACAATTCTTTGTACTGATATATGATATTATAGTACTTATACACATGAAACGTTTTGGCTCATAATCTCATGTGTACCTCCTAATACAAGATTCTCTTAAAAATAATTACTGTCTGCAAAACAAACTAGAAATCGGCAACTCCACGGAGTAGCAAATCCCAACGAACACTTTATTCATGAATCTGTATATGTCACAATGTAATGATATTTACCATCTACTTTTCCCTTGAATTAATATTTGAGATCCTTGGTGTATTTATTGGTTATATATCGTATAACCAAATATGAAGATTTTCTGTCAACTAGTATTTAAGTTATCTTCCGAACGGATGGACGGAGGGCTTCACTAAATCCCTACCGAACTTCTTTCATTGGGATAATAAAACATAAGAATAAACAGGTTAAAGAGATTCAATGTGAGATTTTCTAATTCTACTTGCAGACTGCTTTTAATGTTTAGCATACAATTTTTAATTTTAATCGTGAACTAAGGCTATGAATACAAATATACATATCACTTTGCTAATGTTTCCAAATAAGAGCATGACACTTATAAATGCAAAACATAGTTTCCCGAGTGAGTCATCCAATCATGCTGCTCTAACAAATATACAATCACTTGTGTTCCTACTAATATATCAGTTTTAGAAAGTCTTGTTGTCAGTAACGAATATCAGCTGTAACGAAAAAGTGTGTGATGCAGTATACCATAGACTACATATTCAAGCTTTCCAAATATTCAGCAATGGTTGCCACCGCCTTGTTGGTGTTACCTTGTTGGCCCCCCTCCTTAGTATGGCCTATCACAATAGCTGAAGAAGACAAATACATGGTGTTAAAAACAGGCTACATAGTTACTATCCTCAACAATAAAACTGAACTGTTAAATGTAACATGTGCAAATACCGCAGTGATTTTTTAAAATATAAATGATGTCTCATGATCGAGGAAACTAAATCATGTTTTGAAAATGGCCATAAAATCATGAACAATTGAAAATAGACCAAGTAGAATGACAGAACATTGGACAAGGTTTGTTTGGGCTACCTTTTTGGCTCACCCTGTATCACTTCTCGTATAGAGGCCAATAAGCGAAATTTTACTTGAATAAGTTTGCAAGTAATACCATAGGCCAATGTGCGCAAAAATATATTGAGGTTTCAAGAAAAGAGCTCTCTCAGTTCATTGTCATAATCTATGATTTTTGTTTAAATTTTTCATAGCTTAAACATAATACTATAGCATAATGGGCAAAGGGCTTACCAGTTTTACTTGCTTGCATTGTTAAAGCCCCTGAATCTTTTCTCTTGGCTAATACTACTTTATCATCCTCTACCCTTAGAAACTGGTATTTAATCCCTTCAGCAAAAATCCCACCAGCCATGAAGGAGGTAAAATCTTTACTTTTAAATGGATTTGCAATGTTGACCCCCTCTTGTCCCTGTAGTTTAAGAGCCTGAAAATATAAGATTAGATTTACATTATATCTGCTTATGCTCATCAATGACTATTATAGCAGATATACAATGAGCATCTTAAATCTATTTGACATATCATGATTAGGCAGACATATTATATTTGGCATACTATTAGATAGAATCGGAATATGTTATGGGTCATATTCAGACAGTCAATACTTATGTTTACACCTTAGTCCGTTGAAAACACATTTCATTTTGGTCTACCATTCAAATACAGTATGCATTTTCTGGATAATCTAGCCAACAAACTACTTGATAGGTTTGATGGAGGGATTCACTGTAACTTTCTAATAAAAATCATTTGCTGGTGTAATAAATTCCATTATAATTCAGAATGGCATGAAAACTTTTCTATTAAGTAACTTTCAGCAACTAGGTGTACAGGCTTTAAAACTACTTACATTTGGATGGCCATCGGTTGTCCATTTTGCTCCACCATCCATACCTATGATACAAGCTTTATCAGTGTCACCACCAGAATGTCCCAATAAGTTGTCTATGTAGGAATCCCAACTCATTATGGCGATCTGAAAAGCATATCAATTTATTTATCAGTTAGGTGTAAGGTTCATAGGTTCATAGGCTCATTAAAATATACCTGGATTCTAAGTAAGAGTGCAGAACTGGCACCAAGCAAAGCTAAGCAAAAATGAGAAATAAACTAATGACCGAACTAAATTATAGGCAACCTAGACTTACCTTAGGGAACATCTCAAAAGATAGATGTAGGACTTAGGTATTTTTAAACCCCCATTTCCTAATTGAACTAGGTGATCTTTCAAAAAGTTCATCAAAACTCAGTACTAGCGCAAACACGGTGAATGATGTTAACAGGATCAAACCTGACAAAATCTGACTAACAATTTTGAATGACACGTGACATAAAAGTTCAACTTACCATACTTATTTGCTCAACATCTGAAGAACAGCATATTTTCAACTTTTGTCGTTAAAATCGAAAGTAAGTCCAAGAATGATTAGCAGCAGCTAGGGCAACTGAATATATATCTACTGTACTCCCACTAATATTTGACTCAAGCATATTTCGTGTTTTTATGATTTTGAAATTTCCAGGTTTTAAATTTTTGCTAATTTCCAGATTTTTACAAATTTTGTGGCTATTAACTTTGGCATGTTAAAAAAAGATTGACAACTAAAAAAACGTTTTTTTAAAAAACTTTGCACTTTAAGTGGCGTCACATTGATGTCACTTAAGATGCAATTTTTTAATATGCTAAAAAATTTAAGTGGCCCATATAGTGCATTAGCTGACATTCTAATCTATTATTGTAATAGTATCTCCTTTGTTCAATCTTTATAATGGTGTTAAAAAATAATGTATTTTGCACTGTATAATAAAACTTCTTACAGACAGGGCATTCAAAAGATTCAACTTAACTCTCAGGCACCTTGCATTTGGCACACATCCAGGCATTAAAAATTTATTATATAAATAAAATAAGCATGCTTTGCTATCTGAGCTCTTTTACTGTCAGAAAGTTTTTTATATTTTTATAGGTTTTTCTTTTAGATCTTTTGGTGATCTTCTTTAGGTGAATCGCCCTCTGAACATTGTTAGCCAAGCTGACACTCTCCTTACACTGACTTTTTACTCTTAAGCCAGGTTGCAAGAAGGTTCACTGACTGAATGTAAAGATTCATGTACAGTACCTCCCTTTTATCAACATTGGGTGCAAATACTGTCAGCATTGAGCAAAATAAATTCCTGAGAATTTCTCGGCTGTTATATTTCATGAATTTTCAAAACTTCAAAAAGCATGAAATATAATATCAAGTGAGAATTACTGGGAGTACAGTATACAATTTCAAAAGTGTGACGTTATGTATGAAGCGCAAGCGTGCATCAAGGCAGGACGAATCTCAAGAGAGCTAGATATGAGAAAATCTTCCATTTAATCCAGTTCATATTTGTAATCAACTCTGTCTTGCTCCGCATAATACTATACCGATCAATATTTCAAACTCGGTGTTCCTGCTTGGTAACTCCTCTGATCCAAAAATTAGTCAACAAAACATGACTTTTACATGTTACAGTATACAATGTAAACCTCTATATTCGGTGAACTGGCAAAAGTGTATACCTCAACAGTACTCTCAAGGTTTACTATTGAGGTATACACTTTTGCCAGTGCACCGAATAGAGAGGTTAACAACTGTTTTGTTAATCTGAAGAATATAATAATTGGAAGGATCAAATATCACATGAACATATGTGTAGGTATCATATTTAAGCAAAAAATCCCCAAACTGTTGAATATTTGTAATTTTTACTTATTTTTTCTATTTTTTTTCCAAAATTAAACATTAAATTAGATTAACATTTAAAAAAACATTTTTTTGTCAAAAGTGGCAGTCAACAGTTCCTAGTAGCGGTCAACAGTACATCATGTTGACTGCTCATCAACCAATCAGAATTGAGTATTTCAACTGAGGTACTAACAATCATATATGTGCAACTAGACATCAGATTGTTTTAGCATACTGTCAAGATCTCAAACCTCATCTGAAACTTATTCATGAATCAAGATGACCTCAAATCAAGATTGATTCATCTAAAATTGATTTACTTAAAACTGAAAACTTGCATGACCTAATCATTTATGTGCTTGTTTTTATATGCACACTTTTAATCTAAATACAAAACAAAATACAAGTAACTTAGATAGATATCAAAAGCATATTTTACGCATATTGTGATTGACTGAGTATTAAAGTTAGATAGAAAACTTACAGAGGTGAACCATTCAGTATTAAAATCCATCTCATTCAATTACTACTCAGCCTTTTTGTTTTGATTTATAACAAAATATGTTTATACATAAAATATTTTTTGTTGCTAATGTATGTCTCTGTCTCAGACAAATTTTATGATAATAAAAATGGCATCAATTGGTACACAGGCAAATTACACCGAGCCCTATACGAGCCTCGAGAATTACGAGTCATTACGGGCAAAAAGGAGCACCATCCTCGTACAGGCTCATATATACGAAGCTCGTTATTGAGGCCCGTGCGAGCTTGTATGATGCTCTTAATTGTTGTTTTTGAGGCCCATAATAATTGCTGTCATGCTACACGATTCGCGTCTCTATCCAGAACATGCTGTGAATGTTCATTCATTTCAGAGTGATGTTTTTATTCACACATTCAATAACGATAACATTTATTTACATCACATTTCAACTTATTCCAATACTGCACGCAAATGTTTTTATATGCATTTACTTCACTTGTAGAGAAATATGGTATCTCCTATCGGTTACCCTCCTGTTTATTTTTTTCCTAGCTTTTACACTGTTTATCATGTTGATACAGACATGCGAATATTTGAAATAATTGAAGAAGTATGCTGTATTTTATTTCATCGATCAAAAAGTGTTCATCAAAATAAACAAGCAACAATTACGAGCCTTGTTACGAGCTATTACGGGCCTTGAATTTGCCTGTGTAGGCTTACATGGTAAATAAAAAGCAATTCTGTATGCACCGTTTGAATTTTGTTATTTTGTCCATTATTTTTTGGAATTTATAAAGAATGTCTAACATGTCACCTGGGGCTTTTAGTGCAGCCGGTATGTAGAATACCTGGTATGCAAAATCACCGTCAAATTTAACATGGATTTTGTGTACCAGAGATTTTCACACTTAAAGGAACATTCCTTGCCAGACTATTTCTCTCCTGATATGGTAGCTACAATCATATATATACTTTACATATTTAGCAAAACATGGGGAAATGTTTTCATATGGTCAATATTGATCATTTAAAAATGTAGTATTCATTCCCAGTAAGCTGCCATCTTTCAGATTTCTTTCAGGAAATGATGTCATCGACTCTCAACTGTTATAACCTTGCCTATTACAGTATGGGAAAGAAGTACAAAAAAACAAGAAGCCCTTATCTTCTGTGTAAAAATATTTTCAGGAGTTGTCAACTTAGAACTAAAGAAGAGATCATCAAAAGGATTTTAATCATAGACCAAATTGAAAAAAATATTCAGCTGGTTTAGTAATTCTAATAGCTCCTTTCCTAATGTTTTATGCAAAGTTGAGAGTCGATGACATCACTTCCTAAGTGAAATTTTAAAAGATGGCAGCCTACTGGAATTGAGCACTACATTTTTTAGTGATCAATATTGACCATTTCAAAACATTTTTCTGTTTTTTGATAAACTTGCAAAGTATGTATATGGTTATAGCTACCATATTAGGAGAGATATGGTCTGGCAAGGAATACCCCTTTAAATGGGCTATAGACAACATTTTAAATGCACATTAGTAGGCAACATCCAAAGTTACATTTCCTTAAGATCAAAACCATTAATTTAAGTCAATAAATGCCATCAATAATGAAAGCACATGTAGGATTCATCTACATTCTGAGGCCCAGATATATAATGAATTTAATACATGTATTAATATTAATGTTTTTTGCGTTATGTCCATTATTTTCCCAAATGAATTAAACGGCCACATGTATGTCATGGACGTAGAGGGAGGGGTGGTCTTGAGCCCTCTCGTCCTTTATTTATCATAAACTTAAAATCTTCAGTCCTCATTAATAAAGATAAGGAACTCTTGGAAAAACATTTTAATTTATAGCATATTATTTTATATTTGAGATCAAAAATAAGTATACTTATTTTAATTTCAATTCTATACTAATCTATACAATGAACCTACAAAACATACTTTTAAACAAATACAAACATATTTTACTTAAATCTTTAATTATAATACCCTATTATCTCTAGCAGCCCAGGCAAAGGAACAGAGTCAATATTTTTTGTTGATATTGACGCATGTATGTCGATTTACCCACAAAAACATATTCAGCTGATCGAAAAAATGCATGAGGAAAACATTGAGAAATGACATTATGGTATCTCGTCGGAGTTAGTCATGTTTAGAAGAAAATCTTGAAATACACTATTATTGCAGGTATATTTATCTTTCTAAAATCCCCGGAGTTTTTCTAATTTGATATATCCTCCAGGAGAATTTAGGGAGCTGCACTGTGCATTTATTAGAGAGAATACGGTATTACATTTTGTATAATTAAATATCCACATAAAGTAAATGAATATATAAACAATACAACTACAAAAACAACAATGGCTTGACACAAAATCCCTGTGAACATGTTAAGATGATGATTGATAATGATGTACACAAAATACACATGTTAATTGTAAGATGATGGTACGCAAAATCCCCGTGAAAATGTTAAGATGATAATGAACACAAAATCTCTGTGAAACATGTTGAGCTGATGGTAAACAAAATCCTGTGACATGATTGTACACAAAATCCCCGTGAGAATTTTAGGATGAAGGTACATAAAATCCCATGAACATGTACAGATGATTATGAACCCAAAATCCCTGTGAAACATGTTCAGCTGATGGTGCACAAAATCCCCATGAGATAGTAAAAAGATTGTACGTAAAATCCCTGTGAGAATGTTAAAATGATAATACACAAAATACCGTGACAAGGTTAAGATGATGGTTACAAAAATCCCTGTTGACATGTACATGTAAGATATTCACATGAAAGAATTCACTTTGCAGATTTGTTGAAAATCCCTGTTAACATGTACATGTAATCTATTCTAATGAAAGAGTTGACTATGCAGATTTGTTGAAAATCCCTGTTAACATGTACATGTAAGATATTCTCATGAAAGAATTGACTGCAGATTTGTTGAAAATCTGTGTTAGCATGTACATGTAAGATATTCTCATGAAAGAATTGACTTTGCAGATTTGTTGAAAATCTGTGTTAACATGTACAGGGTGTCAAATGGCGTTGTGCCCCCCTTCCACAGCATAAACTTAGAAAGGTACCTACACATGATGTATGTCATTGGAAAGAGCATTCAATTCTGGATAAGATAAACCCTAGATGACCTAGGTCAGATATTCCTACATAGTGTCACATGCATTTGAAATGTACTAGTGTAGTGCTCTATTTCATTGATTTTTGAGAAGTGGCTGACTGTAAAGTGTAGTGCCTTATTTTATTTATTTAGACTAAAGCTAGTTCACAGTTGAAATAAAGATGACAAAACAACTTTTTGATGATGATAATCAGCAATATAGAGACAGAATAAGGTGTATTGCATATAGAGAATGAGGGTGCTAGTTTCAATACGAAGTATTAAAATCTCTTGAGAAAGACACAGCCCTTTTCCATTCCCTTTTAGCTTCATATCCGGCTAGATTGGCAGCGGTTAAGGCTGCCCAAGGGGGTCATACTCACTTTTAAAAGTAAGTTGAAAATATATCTTATTTTCCATCATGCATCTTCATCTTTTCACATGTTAACAACAATTAAATGCTCTTTCCAATGGTATATGGTATGTGTGTGTATCTTTCCTAGTTTATGCTGTGGAAGGGGGGCACAACGCCATTTGACACCCTGTACATGTAAGATTTCTCATGAAAGAATTGACTTTGCAGATTTGTTGAAAATCCCTGTTAACATGTACATGTAAGATATTCTCATGAAAGAATTCACTTTGCTGATTTGTTGCAAATCCCTGTTAACATGTACATGTAAGATGTTCTCATGAAAGAATTCACTTTGCAGATTTGTTGAAAATCCCTGTTAACATGTACATGTAAGATATTCTCATGAAAGATTTGACTTTGCAGATTTGTTGAAAATCTGTGTTAACATGTACATGTAAGATATTCTCATGATAGAATTGACTTTGCAGATTTGTTGAAAATCTGTGTTAACATGTACATGTAAGATATTCTCATGAAAGAATTGATTTTGCAGATTTGTTGAATTTTTTTGCGAAAAAATGATATACATGATTGTATCAGTGCTTTCAGTAGGCTTGTCCAAAAGTGCTTTCCTGGGACAGATCGATTTTCCGAAATTGCGTCCCCCCTCAAAAAAGTGCGTCCCCATGAAAAATGTTCCCAGAAATTCAAAGTCACATTTTTGCACTGAACGAAAAAGATTAATGAAAAGTTTGCATCAGTTTTGTCATTCTTTGACCCATATCAATGTTCTACACACCTAGTAGGTCATTAAATAATGCAGATACCTTCATTTTGTCTATTTTACCAGCGTGCATATATTAAAATCTAGTGCTGCCGTGTGCATTTAAATTGTTACTCATGTTACAATTTATAAAAATGCTTATTCAAGAATAAAAATACTGGGTACACAAAATCCCCGATTCATTTGATGGGGATTTTGCGTACCAGGTATTCTACCTACCAGCTACAGCTGTACCCATATGGATTTCGGAATTTCCCTCCATCTACCCGGCAAACTGATAACAATATAGCCCTAAAGGGTGTTATAAAAATTGGGAGCGAGTTTACTCATGAGGAGATTCTGACTGACAGTCTGAGCAATAAATAAATGAGTAAATATATGTTTTTCCAGATTATTTTGTTGGTTGAGAATAAATGATAAATGTGACGACTACTCCCATAATCAATCCCTATGTTTCAAACTGATAAATCAGAAAGATAAATTTATGATAACAAATAAGTTCATCCATGGATGGAATGCAGGGAAAGGTTTTCGACAACAGACACACATAATTGGTCTGGAAGAGCTGGGTTTATCAAATGTCTGAGTGCAAAAAGGTGGGCGTCCTGCATACTACAAAAAATTTAGAGAAATTGAGATTTAGTTTTTCAAGTCTAGAAGTAACATTCACCACTGCAGCATATACAGTATCACAGGAATATTGCTGTTAGATAAAAGAAGAATTATCTTTAATGTATACATGAATCATGCATGCAAATGAAGCATGATAAAATGGCATGGAAGCAGGAAGGGAGTGGATTTTTGGAAAGTTCAAGAAAATGTCACCATATTTCAAACTAAATATTCACCTTGTTAAATGGAATTATTCCATTTGAAACAAATAAATTATTTTAGAAATATACTTCAATGTTGTTATTATTATAAATTTACACGACATTTCCCCATACTTACCGGTAATTTATAAGCTAAATGAAGGACGAGTTATTTCCTGGTTCCCTACAAAAATGTGCTGGTTGACCTACTTCCCAAATATGACAAAAAATATATACTTAACTATCGAATATTGACAAGCATGATTGAATTGATGGTATTACAAAATATATTGTATTTATTAAAGATATAATTATTCATAATAGTTTCATTAAATTTTGTAATATAAGTAGGATGGAATTAGTTAAAATATAAATCTAGATAGACAGTTTATACCTCGCCATGACTATTTACAGCACATATATTGTAAATCGAGCGGGTGGTTTAATCTATCATTATGACCACAATATGCCTAGAATGGAGGTAGAAAAGACGTTCAGCTATCCTCTAGAGCTTACTCTCAAAAATTATAATGATCAAATTGTCGTTGGATTTGGACAAAGGGATGGAATCAAAGGTAACATCTCTGTTATTTTTAATCACATATTATCGCCCAAAAATTAAATAAATATTTGACGATTGCTCAGGAACTTGAATCTAGTGATATCTACTTCCCTGTCCGGAAGATATACCATAGACTTTGTACAAATGCAAATATTATATCGTGCCGACCAAAAATCAGCACCCCCTAAGTAAGGACTTATGGAATTTTTACAAATGCCCCTCTCACGTAGTGGGCTAAGCTTAGTATGTATCTTACTGAACACAGCTTGCTCAAAAGCCAGCTGACACGCCGTTAGAATATACCGGCTTGTGAAGTGTTTTTTCCCCAACTTCCAGCTGGTGCGCTGGCATAAGTAACGGTATTTAGGAAGATAATTGAATATTACTTGCCTTTTTTTGACGCGTGGTGTCAACAAGTCCTATTTGTTGTGTAATTTGCAATTAAATTGGAGAAATTTCTGTTCCGGCGCGCACCATCTTTTAATTTTTTGCGCATGCGCTCATAAACTTCTCTTCATTGCAATGCCAACGGAACTTCCCAGAGCTGACTTCTGTCAGCCCGGTAGAGTAATATGTATCCAATAGACTGACTAGAAGTCAGTCTGTTAGGATATATTACTTTCCTGTGGAAATTGCAGTGAAATTTTTTGCACAAAATTATCAATTGGAGGAACCATTTCTTCAATAAAATAAACATTACAAAATTTCAATTAAGGTGCTATGGAAGTTAACAGGAAATGACAAAACAGGAAGTGACAAAGCCATGCTGGATTTTGAAAATTTTTTGAACCAATATAACATAGTTCTGTTTGGACCTCCAGTCAGTTTAACTAGTTCCACATATCATTTACATGACCAGGAACACAACGGAAATGGTCAGAATGACCATAAACATGATGAAATAACCTTTTCAGCCCTCTGAAAATGTGCCTGAAAAACAGCTCAGAGTAGAGTCCATTTCACTGCTTCATTTCGTCAGTAGAACGGCAAAAATAAGAAATTGGGAGACCATTGTGCAATAATATATGGAAAAGTATATTCATAATGTACATGAATGACATTTGTATATCTTGGATTGCTTCTAGTTTGGCTTATAAAGTGTGTGGCCTCTTATATTTGGATGTTTCTCTGCCATGTTATTTTCAATAAGATTAACATGGCTGAAATTCTTCAAATTACAAGACGGCACAGGCTTATTGCACAAAAAACTAAAAAATCTGAAATACACAAATGTCATTCGTGTACATTATGAATATACTTTTCCATATATTATTGCACAATGGTCTCCCAATTTCTTATTTTTGCCGTTCTACTGACGAAATGAAGCAGTGAAATGGACTCTAGGTGCTCAGGAAAGGTCACTGAACAGAATCTTTTGACTTTTTCAGAAAATCTGCCCAATATATTGCTTAAAATGATACAATTTAAAAAAATTTGATATCATTCTTAGAAAAAGAAAAAAATGAAAAAAATGAATTGAAAATCGATCAATTTACCTTTTTACTACAGTCATTATTGTTTCAGACAATTTTTTAAAATATCAAAGATTGTATCATTTAGACCAATATATTGGACACGTTTTCTGAAAAAATTGAAAGATTCTGTTCAGTGACCTTTCCTGGAGCACCTACTTTTAACTATTTTTCAGTCACATTTTCAGAGGGCTGAAAAGGTTATTTCATCATTTTTATGGTCATTCTGACCATTTCAATTGTGTTCCCAGTCATGTTAATGATATGTGGAACTAGTTAAACTGACTAGAGGTCCAAACAGAACTCTGATATCTTGCTTCAAAAATTTTTCAAAATCCAGCATGGCTTTGTCACTTCCTGTTTTGTCATTTCCTGTTAACTTCCATGGCACCTTAAATAGTAAGGTACAATTAAATGCAATAAAAAGTAACACAGCCTATTGTCAAGTGGAAATAAAGCTAGTTGAAGCAACAAATGTGCAAATTAATTTTACCCAATCAGCCATTTTGAATAGCTGCACTTCCTATGTAAACAAATATTTAAAATTACCAAACTTTACATAGGTGCCTTATAGTCTGAATATAATTCAGACTAAATAGGATATAGTCTAGGGCTAAGCTTATCCCGTGCCAGGACAATAGTCCTGGACCGAGCATAATCTTTTGCCTGTACAATTACAACTTTGGAGAATTATCTACGCCCCTTACACTTAGATCTTCAATAGATTCCTTGGTATTTTAGCATTCTTTTAGCGGTTGGATTTAAAAGGGGATTCCACGTTTGACTGGCTGGGAAGTGGCCCAGAAGTACCAATATATTGACAAAAATTTCTTCGTTCTGCCAATAATTTTTGAAATTCTAATTTTTTCTAATTTTTGAAATTCTAATTTTTTTAAAATGTGACTTCTAGATCAGGTTAATTCCCCATAGACCCCATGTTACAAAATCACAAAAAGTGAAATATATTTTCTTGTATTGGACAAATAACATTTTCTTTTACTAGACATATTTAATAAGGGTTATGTGAAAATTGAACCACAAAACCAGATGTAATTTAAGTTAAAGGGAACTTTCTACTTTACCCACTATGTTATTGAACAGTAACTACCTACTTGCCTCTGCGTTATTGAATTTATGCTTGTTTTTCAGTTGGTCATGCAGTGTTGGGTATTAATGGGATTGCAGCACAAGGACGTAGCTTGGAGGATGGCAGGGATGTTTTGGAAGTAATTGCTAATGAGGAAAACTACCCTTTGGCTATAAAGTTTGGCAGGAACAAACTAAGCACAAATGAAAGACTGGTTCTGACAGGCATGTTCCACTCGTAAGTAGTTAAAGTTCTATTTAGGAGTTCATGTGTAGGCCAGTGCCATGTAGGTTTCTTAACTAATTGAGCTTTACATTTGGGATGATACAAAAAAACTATTTATTACTTAACTGGATTCTGTCTATCCTCCTTCGTTTGAGACTGAGTCCTTTTTCTCATATGAATACTATAGTATCTTCATTTATTTTCAATGTCAAAGCTGCAAAAGTATTGGTTTTCTCTTCTAATTTAAATGTTTCAATATGAGATGGTATGGTGGAGATGGGCAACAATGTACATACCTGTACTATATGATTATAAAAAATATAACTCAGAAAGATGGCAGCAACACTACCATGAAATTATTTGACACATTGTCAAGATGATGGTTGCTGTAAGAAAAGGAATTGATAGTTCACGGAAACATTTATATTCGCCCGCTCAGTCTTCACTGCGTTTATCGACCAACGGGAGCCCAGTGAACGAAGATGGGAAACATACAGAATTTAAGTATTTCTAAAAGGGATATTCCTTTGCCAGACAACTTTTCTCCTGATATGGTAGCTATAACATACATACTTTCCATTAACATGGGAAAATGTAGGCTGTCATCTTTTACGTATTCACACTCAATTCTGGATGAGTGGTCCTTAAATTCTGTGCAAAAATATTTTCAGGACTTGTCAACTTAGAATTAATAAAGAAATGATATCTTAGAATTAAATCACAGACAAAATTGAAAAAGAATATTCAGCTTATTTTATTGTATCAACACCAAAAAGTGGTGACATATTGTTATGGTCTCTGTTTTTTGTGACAGTGAATTTTGATGGTGGATGGTGGTTGGCGAACGGTGGTTGGTGTCTTTAACAAATTCTTAAAACTTCCAATAACTTAACAAATACTGTTTAGCCTGACTTCAGTTTTTCAAAATCATCTACAAGTTTTCAGAAGTTCAGATCTGACTATAGATTTGACCTTCAATGACATTCTCAAGGTCTAAAAATATTTGACATTCAATAACCTCCTCAAGGTCAAAAAGGTATTTTTTCAACTTGACCAAAATCATCTACAAGTTCTCAGAAGTTCAAATCTGACTTTAGATTGAACTAATAATATTATGAGCAACTAGGTGGTGACATTTTGTCATGGTATTGCCTTGTCTAATGCTATATGCAAATTTAATAGTTGATGGCATTGCTTTCTGTGTGAAATCTTAAAAGATGGTGCTAGCTACTCTGCTACTTGAAATAAATAAATTTTAAAAAAATCAATCTTGACCATATCAAAACATATTCCTGTGTTTTGCTAATTATGGGGGCAATCAAAAACTAAATTAGAAAGCAAGAACATACCATTACTTTTACTTTTTACATTCTACTGTATGTAGTATTTATTACATGAAGAAGATATATACATGTATGCACAGTCTCTGAGTATGCTAGTTCCTGTATAAGAAAACACAATCATAAAATCAATGCTGTCACAGCGCAAATATTTTTATGATTCCCTTAACAATAACTTGATTAATAGATGTCATTCCAGTAGCTGGATTATCTATAACCATGAAGCGACAATTCTAAAATACACTTATTCATGTACATGTATCATACACATAGCCAGCGGTTGAAATGGGTGCACCCTCCCATAACCGATAAATTTAGAGTCTTTGGATAGAGGAAGAAATGAGGCTTAAAATGTTTTTTATTTGAAGCTTTTTGTAAATTCAAAATGAATCTTAAAAAAAAATTTTGGCTCGCCTATGCCACAAGCGCACCCCACCCCTGACTGGACCAAAGCTGGCTACGCCCATATTAAATATGTACAGTGTAGTAATATCTATTCACAAAAGAGTGTTCTTACTTATTGTTATTCAAGTTTTTCCTACAATACCAAGATTACAATTAAGTAGTCAATGAACTAAAACATACAGGTATTATCTCTCAGGAAGGGTCAATCATGTCACACTTATGAAAATAGCTTGCTTCAGTGAATGTGTTATTTTATTGTTTAGTAACCACGTTGACCATTGCTCCCCAGGGACTATTTGAAGTAGTCAAATGTGCTTAAGTTTTAGTCTATGTATACAAGAAATGTGTTCTCAGATGTACATGTAACTCATATATCTTAATATAGAGCAGATTCTTAGCCTGAACGCCGTGTATTTAACTACAGAGCAGTCATATTTTTATGTTCTGACCCAGGCTTACCGCTTCCTGAACCCGATCCTCTTGAGCCAGACCTCGTTGCAGATCCTGTTAATTGTGTCGCTCTTGTCGCATATAAGTTTCTGTATTTACACCTTAACATTCTACACATATCACTCATAAAATGTGTCCTCACTAAACAATACACAAGAATATTTATGGCCGAATTGATTATAAGAAGCAAGTCTACCACCATCCAATATAGCATAAGTCCTGTTAAGGTTGCGTTATATTTTGATCCCGTGAGTGTTGCATTGTTTCCAAGTTTATTTTTAATTATACTGAAATTAATTATCTGCCAGATTGACAAGGCGACCATTGGGATGACACAAATGAGAAACACAAATGAAATGCTGATCAATGTCACAGTGATGTTTTTCTCTTTTTTATCTATGTCTTTGTCAGTTATTGACATCATTTGTGGACGTCGCTGACGAGAGAGTCTCAACTCATGAACGAGCCGTATGTTCATCCCCAAGACTAGTCCCACTGGGAGTACATTTCGAAATACAAGATTTAATCCCAGTGTGTATAACCCCCTGTATACAATGTTCTTCCCAAGTGTGTTAAGGATTATGTTAATGAAATAAAGTTTTGTGCATTCATTACGTTGCACTTGATAATCATAACCAAAGTATAAAGGGATGTTGTAGAGGACTGCTCCTGTGATAACGATGCTAATGCCAAGTCTTGCCTTCTTCATGCTGCAAAATGACAATGCCTTGAACGGGAAACAGATCGCGATAAACCTATCCAATGTGAGGAACACGACCAACCAGGCACTAGCCATCTGAGCCATCTCGACTAATGGTATGGCATAACCTACCACTTTCATATATGTATCAGCGAGAGTTTCTTTCAGTTTATTGTCAGATTTTTCGATCCAGTCAGTATAATAATAAGCAGCATTGTATGGCTGTGTCAGTATTCTTAGTAATAGGTGAATACCATCTGTAATAGCAAGTGTCTTTAAGATGAAGACGCTTGTATTCACTTTATCTGTTGATGAAAGTGTTAAAAAAGACAGAATATTGCCTACAATACCCATAAAGCATATAATACTAAACACGTAAACTTCCATGACGACAAGTACTTTTGTGACATCATTTTTCAAACGGCTGTATGGGTTGTTAGGGGCCTTGCATTGTTTTTTCACACATTTCTTACCTCCTATGTCAATAATTCTTTCGAACTCCACGGAAGACAGTATAGCTTTTGTTGTATTTGTACATTCATCAAATCTACTCAACCACTTAAAAAAGGAAGTGTTCACACCACAGTTTTCAGCACCCATAAGTAAGGAATTCATCTGTGCAATGGGTAGGATGACGTTAGTTGGGAATGGGAATGTTATTTTGATAATGTTCCAATCACAAATGTCTATAGGGCAATTTTCCGTTTTATTCATTTCATCTAAAATTGCTAACAAGTCCTCTGTTTTGACCATAGAAATTGTCACATTGTTGCGATCACATCTGGTCCAGTTCAGGTTTTTCATATCAACTTTACATTCAGGTTGTGCCGTCAAAAGTTTTTCTAACTTTTTTAAGGGCTCGATTCTCCAACCTGTTGGTACTCTTCTAGGACACTTATGATAGATTGGTTTACTGATGTTTGCGTTGATGTTAATTGTTGCAGATGTATGGTCAGATGATCTGGTTGCATTTGTCACACTTGTCAGTGCTGTATCTGTGACACCAATCTTTGTCATGTTTGTCACACTTGACTGAATAGTATATTGCACACTTGTCACCATCTTCTGTGTCATTTGTGTGACTTTTTGTTGTGTAGAATCTGTCACACTTGCTACTGTTATTTCTGTCATACTTTCTATTGTTGTATCTGTCACATTTGTTATTGTTGACTCAGTCACACTTGACTGCTCTTTGACAGTTGTTGAGGTTATATCTGCATCTGAATCACTTATCCATGTTGTATTTTCAGTTTTTGTTGTATATCCAACCTGTTTTCCTGTTGTAGTATTTGCTGTAGTGACATTGCTGTTATTTATTCCAGGAACCACTGTGGTGCTATCTCCCTCTTTAACAGTCTTTTCACCAGTTTCTGATTTTATTGCAACATCCATATGCAGAAACAGAACAAGAATCCCTATTGCAATATACACCTTACCCATATTGTTATTTAGTTTACTGGGACGTAAAGCTGCTCCGTACTTTGTTTTAAACTTCACTTTTCTGTGTCTAAAGAGGATAAATGTTTTGCAATACTTTTAATGCATTCATAAATGATGTCCGCTCTGTTATGAACGCAAGCTGCAGAGTAATACTGCCAGAATGTTCATTATTGGATTTGTTGTATGATACAGTTTGACGAGAATTTTTAAAGGGAAAATAAAAAAAGTTTATGATTGTTAGTTTAGCATCTTACAATGACAATATGTCTAAATACTTCGCTTTACTTTTTGGTCTTTCAAACATGTTCTTGTCCATAAATGTTTGAGAGAGTCCCCAGTCTGTGATTGGATCATTTATGTATGATATGAACGTAAGTGATGAATAGTGAGTAATTGAGAGATATCACTCAAAAATTATGGAAAATTAAAAATGCAGAAATACTCACATTACATGAACAGTATAGAAATGTAGAATAGAATTGATGTTTTTCTAAAAAAATATATCAAGGCGTGCATAAATGTGCTCATTGTCTGAAAAGGTTACATAGAAAATCACTTTATCTATAAATCCTTGCTCATTCATATTTACATAAAATTGTCTGGATATATTTTTTTTAAAATGACTTGGAATTTTATGAACTGTGCTGGCACAGAAGGTAATCAGAGTTGTTTAGATGCATAAAGTAATCATTCTGATACTCATTGCATCTTTCTGTTTCACCTGAAACATCTCAGGGCTGAGAAGAAATGACATGTCATGGTTTATCATGATGTAAAATAATATAAATAAGCATAATATTTAGGTTATATAATTCAAACTAATTTATAGTAATTCATTTCAACAATATATCACTGCAGTGTACATGTACAGCTGTATCTATACTTAAAGGTTATGTCACTATGACGTGAAATATGCCTGACTTCTCCCAATATAGGCCGACCTTGGGAGGCTCTATATTTAGGCAAGAACGAAGGCATATTTCACGTCATAGTGACATAACTGATGTATTACATGCCTTTGTTCCCATGGTTACTTTGTATCAATGACGTGACGTCATGATATTATCATGGTTATTAAAGAAATCTAATATCAAAACGAGGTAAGCGGGCTATATCGGGGTAATCGGGCAATATCGGTGGATATAGCTCGCTAACTTTCCCATTGACTTCCATACAAATGCTTCGCTAGGTATGTAATACATGTAGATATGTGTGTACAAATTCTAGAAAAATAGCTCTGAAATAAATATCTGAAATGAATTCTGTATTTCTATTTCGAGGTAATTAAACATAAACATCTTCTATTTACACTCACATCTCTTATTAATCGAGTGGCAACATTGCCCCAGAACAAGATAATTACAAATTATAATGAGACAATGGATGACAAAGAAACTTAGCAGGGTTATTAAAGAGGCAGTATGTCTGCACTCTGAAAAGTGCATTTGTAAAATCTTATAAGCTTTACCCAAAAATTAGTGTTTGAAAAAGCATTCCTCATTATTAGAAATTGGCATAAGTTATGAGGATACTGCTACAGAAGATTTTATTGGGAAGTATACAAAATTTATAAGGAACTCACGGAGAGGTCGCATGAAGAAAGTGCATAAATGTCCATCTTTGCGATGTGTATTGAAAAATATTGACTGCTTGACAATAAATTCTCAGATTGCCACTTAGCCAAATGCTTCTAGTCATTTAGAGTTGTTTTTATTGAAATTGTAGAATCCCTTAAACAAGGATTATTTAGTAATATTCATTTGGGTTAGGTATCTATAGTGTTGATTAATGTGTAAGGTGTTTCAGATTGAAAACTAAGTGGTATACCGAGCCCAAAGAACGAAAAGTAGTTTCAATAAAAGTGCATGCATATTTTCCCATATTCATATCATGATAGGATGAAAAATATACGTGAAGTATTTGCTTTCGATGTTAAAATTGATTGCATCATTATTAATAATGCTCAAACGAAAGCTTTGGAATAAGAAATAATTTGAATTAGCTGATCATAGGCTATTTTAGGAGGACTGACAGAAACAAAGACAAGAAAAATATTTGTATAAACTCTACCCCTTTAATAGAACTATCAAGCCAATAGATAAAACAGACTAATATGAAAATGATTTGTTTGAGTAGACTTTGTTATGTTTTGAAGTATTAATTGCTTTTCAATGGTGTTTTGTAAAGCGATGTTTTAATCCTCGCATCTAAGCTGGGCAAATATACACATTGCATGAGAGTAGCCATTATCGATATTAGAACAATTGCATAGAATACTTTAAACATTTTGTTTATAAATCTATGTTTATATTTGAGCAATTACTAATGAATGTTGGGCTAGGTTTTTACTGGGATTATTTTTTAATTATATTGTTGCAATGAAAAGCTATTGTTGTTGATGGATTAAAAAATGAACATGTTGATTGAAAGCTTTAGAAAAAAAATTCAAAAGCTTTTGAAATGATCATTTTTACAAACTGCATTTATGCATTAGCACTGTATGTTAAAGTCATTAGTGCTCTTCAATGGAATTTTATGTGAAATATAAAATGGTAATAACTTACCCCATTAGTATTCTGATATTTATTAATCAATTATTTGATTTAATAAGGTCCTAGGATTTGTTTGACGTTGAATGTGTGAACTATGCCCATACATATTATTGATTTTCAATTTTCTGTGTCTTTTTTCAATCTAAGATAGAGCTTTATAGTTATAATAGGGAGGGGAAGAAATGGGTGGTTAAAAAACTGTTTTCACCTGAAGTATTCACAATAAGTGGATTGCCCATTATAACTTAGGCCATAAGAAGTTAATTCTTTGTTTTGCGTCCCCTTGCTTGCACAATTTTGAGTAAATGAGAAAAAACACACACATCCAAATAGCAATCACAAGGGCCTGAAAGTACCATCGCATTTCGTTCAGCCGGAATCAGAAATGACGTGACGATTTGATGTAGGTAAAAATTGATAGTGTTATTGATTACTTTGGCATACATTGTGCATTTTCTTATTTTGGTTACCTTTGAATAATAGCTATGTTTAAATATATAATGTATATGATGTATAGATATATGTTTGTTATCACTGCAAATTGGTATGTCATTCCTTTTTATGCCCATAAAATGAATTCATTTCTTAGGCAAACAAGTGTTTTTTTTTTCTTGAGTTTGTGTTTGTTTTCCTTGTACCCTTGCACGATTTGGATTTTGCCAGGATGCAAAACAAAGAATCAACTTCTTATGGGCTTAAGTATGTTCCCTGGACAAAGCTGAAAATGATGAACACTCAACAGTACCACTAATTTTTCTTTTCAAAGTATAGTTTCGAGAGAGAAATGGTCTGGCAAAAATATCCCTTTTATCACTTCCTACTTGCATGCATAACATACTGTCTTTGCTCATTTATTTTGGAGTAGGTACAATATTTTGGGATTTTGTTCTATTTCAGATTATTTGCGATTGGTTCCCAACTATCCCCAGAAACAAGGTCATCTGGCATTGAACTGATAGAAACAGATGTCTTCAAACTTCATTGTATGCAGACACTGACAGGTATTTACATTATGATCATTGAACTGTTGAACATAGGGGTATGTCATTCTTCATTGGGATATGTCATTCTGATAGATAGTATTCAAACTTCACTGTATGCAAACGCTGAAAGGTATGTACATAATGATCAGTCTCCATATTGAACTGTTGAACATAGGGATCTGTCATTCTGATAGATAGTATTCAAACTTCATTGTATGCAAACACTGACAGGTATGTACATAATGATCAGTCCCTATATTGAGCTGTTGAACATGGGGATCTGTCATTCCAATAGAAAGTATTCGAACTTCACTGTATGCAAACACTGACAGGTATGTACATAATGATCAGTCCCTATATTGAACTGTTGAATATGGGGATCTGTCATTCTGATAGATAGTATTCAAACTTCATTGTATGCAAACACTGACAGGTATGTACATAATGATCAGTCCCTATATTGAACTGTTGAACATAGGGATCTGTCATTCCGATAGATAGTATTCAAACTTCATTGTATGCAGACAGTGACAGGTATGTACATAATGATCAGTCCCTATATTGAACTGTTGAACATGGGGATCTGTCATTCCGATAGATAGTATTCAAACTTCATTGTATGCAGACACTGACAGGTACTTGTATTTACATAATGATCAGTCCCCATATTGAACTGTTGAACATGGGGATCTGTCATTCCAATAGAAAGTATTCAAACTTCATTGTATGCAGACACTGACAGGTACTTGTATTTACATAATGATTTTTTTTTTTTTTTTTTTTTTTATTCATTAATTATCCTCATTCATTACATAACATTTACAAAATCTTCAATCGCCAAATACATGCATGGCATTATAGAAGAATTGATGGAACTTAATGACATATAAATAAAGGAGCAATGTTAACAGTAGTTTTGGGGTTGTGTGTGTGGGGGGGGGGGGTGCTTGGCGTGGGAAACAGTTACTGGAGATAAAAGATGTTTAAGGAGGGAAAATCATATATTGGCTTTTATAAAGGAAGCTAGCCTGGTCATCATTTTCGAATTAAGTTCGATAGAGATTTCAGTTGAGCCATATTTCAGAACTTCAAGATATTTATGCCGAGAGATTTGCCTGTCAAAAATTTCAGGGATCAGGTTTTTCAGGTATTGATTAAGTTCATCCCTGGCATCAGTCAAATGAGCACAGTGAAAAAAGAAGTGTTTAACTGTTTGTGGATGTCCACATGAACAGTTTGGGTTGTCAATATTGCTAAAGTTATGAGCATATAGTTGGGCCTTAAATAAAAAGTCGGCCCTGAATTTATTTACTATTATCTCATGGCTCCTTGTGAGGTTCAGTTTGCTGGTTGTGATGACATTTATTGGATTTTTGAAAAGCAGTTTTTGATGTTTCTTGAAATTCTGGATAGTAGCTTTACTCTTTAATGTATTTGGCAGGGCTAACCAGTTGGAGATTGCAGAGGGTACCGCTGAATTTCTGTACCGTTCAGAGCATTTTGGTATAATGAACTCATCAGTGTTACGCAAGTTTCGAGTTTCTGGTTTTTTGAACTTATCAAATATGTCATCAAGAAATTTAGGGTTAGGACCATGTACTATTTTGTACATAAAGTTGTTTATAAACATTTTTCTTCTAGTGTCAAGAGATGGCCATTGAAGTAGCGTTAGTACTTTATCTGTGCTGCTCCCGTGAATACAACCTGAGCAGTAGATAGCAGCTTTATAATATAATCTATCGAGCCTTTGAAGTAGATATTTGGAAGAACTATTGTAAATGATGGTACCATAATCAAAATGGGGCAATATGAAGGAGTTGAAGATTGTCTCCAAATGACTAGATCCTATTTTGTTTTTGAGTTTTTTAAATGGATTCAACATTTTTGTTACCTTATCATAGATGTTACTTATATGGTGCTTGTGTGTTAAGCAGGGATCAAACGTGAAACCGAGGTGTTTATGGGAATCAGATCTAACTATTTCCATATTATTAAGATTAGATGGACTGATATCATTAATACGTGTTCTAGGTTTATGAAATATCAGTTCATGACTTTTTTCTGGTTTAAACTGTAGTTTCCAAGTAGTTGACCATTGTTCAATGCTTTCTAGGCTTGACTTAACAGAATCATCAACATTAGTGGGGTCTTTTGGATCAAGTTTAAAATGTAAAGAGGTATCATCAGCATAGATGTAGCACTGGCCACCCAGGTTGTCAGGAATATCATTAATGTACAAGATAAATAGAATAGGCCCTAGAATAGACCCCTGTGGGACGCCACAGTTAATAAAATTAGTATCAGAAAGTTTTGAAGATTCGCCACCTACATTAACAAAGAATTTTCTGTCATTCAGATAGGATTTGAGTACATTGAGCAGTTGGCCTTGGATACCGTAAGATTTAAGTTTAAGCAATAGAAGATTATGTGGTACGCAATCAAAAGCGGCCGAAATATCAAGGAATATTGATTTAGAGGCTTTGCCTTCCTCGAAAGTGCATTGCAGGTAGTGCTCAATAGCTAAAAGTTGAGAGTGTGTACTGTGGCCAGGCAGGAAACCAGATTGATGTTTAAAAAGTAAATCATTTTGTATAAGATGTTTTTTAATTCGATCAGCAAGAACTTTTTCAAAGAGCTTTGATAGGGTATTTAGGAGCATAATTGGTCTATAATTTTTTATATTTGTCTTATCATCTTTTTTAAAAATTGGACAGACACTACCAATTTTCCATGTTTCCGGGAAAATATTTTTGTCAAAAGCTTATTGAATAATTTAGAGAGTGGTTTTGAAAGTGTATGGGCTGTTAAGTTTAACATTTTATTGGTTATGTTATCAGGACCGCATGTTTTCGAAGTATCTAGGTTAAGTATAAGTTTCATTATCTCATGTTGGTTGGTAATTGCAGATATAATGAAGGAATTTGTTCTCGATGGAAAGTTTGGTAGTGTGTCGTTGTTGTTGATCTCCATATGATTTTTACCAGAAAAATATTTCATAAAAGAATTAGCTATGTCCAGGTTTTTATTAATTGGGATACCAGTTCTGTCATCTATAATGCATGCTATTTCTGATTTCTTAAAATTGTTTCCAAGGAAAGATCTAATAATTTTCCAGTAATTCTTATCATTCTTGGTCAAATTATCAATAGATTTGATTAGATTTTGGTCATGGTCAAGTTTGGTTTTTTTAATTAAATTTGAAACTTTTGTTGCTTGCTGATCATAAAGTATTTTATTTTGATAAGTAGGATGTTTTTTCATTGAATTGAAGAGCTTTTTTTTCTTTTTCATTTCCAATTGAAGAAAGTTATTAAACCAGGGTTGGTCATTGTATTTAGGTTTGATGATTTTATGAGGTATGTGTTTTTTGTAAATAGACATTAGTTTATCAACAAAATTTGTGGTTACTGTATTCATATCTAGGTCACCATCTATGATAGTCATCCAGTTAAAGTTTCTGATTTCAGAGTTTAATTGTTCAATATTGGTTTCTTTAAGTTTTTATAGCTGCCATATCAAGAGCGAAATGGGCTTGAAAGGAATATACTCATCAAGGGGAAGAGACTGTGTATTGTCATTTAGGTACAGGCCTTATGTAGGTAGATACTGACAGGAACAAGAAATATTTATTTATGGGGGATGAAAACAACATATTTATATTTACTGAACTTCACAATGGATTTTAAAATAACCGCTAAAGCTTGATATATGAATGAAGCTTCTGATATTGCAAACAAACCTACATACTGTAATTAGTATACACAGTATAAATCTCCAGCTAATTACCATCTCCCTTAGATTTACTGGGACAGGGGTTTCATGAGCAGCTAGCAGGCAACCGGTGATTTTCAACAGTTGTTTTCACAAAATCGCTGGTTGTTTTAAGGGGCTTTTCAACTTTTCCATGTTATATTTATGATTTTCATTAATTTTACCTGTTGTTTTCATTTAATTAGCCTGTTGTGAGAAATTATAGTGAAAGCCCTGTGGGATATGGTTTACTAAGTGTCAATGACTGAAATGGGGTTGTTATTGCAATAAAAGTGTTATTATATCACCATGAAAAGTCAAGAATTTAGTTACAAAAACAAAAGTTACATACCTTGCAAAACATGTAACAAATCATATATAGGAGAAACTTCAAGACCTTTGAAAGTTAGAATTAAAGAACATAAGATAGAAGCAGATTCAGTTCAGTTTTTATACAGTTGAAAAAGGATCCAGACAGTATCCGAAACGTCTTGTTTAGTAAAATAAAGGTTGTGAAAAGAAGAAAATAATGTTTTTGTGATTTGATAATCCAACCTGAAGAACGTGTTTATAATGAAGAATTTAGTGGTAGTGTGGGCACTGAGTTGACATTTCAGGGATATTTTGTGCTTTGATAATCTATTTTGGGCATGTTTTGTTCATTACAAGGTGGCCTTGACTCGTTTGAATTTTTAACCAGGCATTCCAAAATCTTGTGATCACGTTTACACTACATTTGAATTTTTAACATTTTCCGGGGTATGTTTCTCGGTTTAAACAATGAGACTAAGTTAGTTTTTTTGCATGTCAGATAAATATTCAAAGGTAAATGAGAGGTTCATTTCAAATTATCACGCATTTACAGTAAAATTGCAGAATTATTTGTAGTCATTGTGATCAGGTGACCAGGTGTTTACTTTCTTTTGCTTTAAAATGGCAAAACGATGGCAAAATGGGTAAGTTTAGGAAAAGCATATGATTCTAAAAAGACAAGAAAATTTTGACCAAAGAGCTTTTCAAACGAGCGATGGGCACCGCTAAACAGTGTTTTATTCGTAAGAGCCTTCCTTATATCTTGATTGTGACAAATGATGGCCTTCCTGCTACATAAGAATACTATTAAGAGCCTGATGTATGAGTAAAAGGTGAAATGTAACAAACAAACCTACACACTGTAAACAATGTGCAAATCCTTATTCAATTATTTATCCATCTCAAGATGTTTTGATATTATTTCTGATATTATTCATTCAACCGAAACAAGATTGATGTTGTTTATCAGCAAAATGAGGAATTTTATGAGCCATTTTGAATTGAATTGAAATTGAATAAAGCAATCGATTTGGAAGCACGAAACATCCTCTTTTGTTACTTTGCCATTTAATGCCATTTTGAAAAGTGGTGGCCATTTTTTATACATGTCATTTTTATGTTACCACCAAAAGTGGTGACATATTGTTATAGTCTCCATTTTTGTGAATGGTGTTTGATGGTTGGCATTCATTGTCTAACAAATTCTTACAACTTCCACTGAACAAGTAATGTTTAGACTCTCTTCAAATTTTTACCATGGACATATACAGGGTGGTCCAAAAAATCATTTACACTTTTGACAACGTAGCATTTTCTAATGACAGAGAAATTTCCCAACTTGTCCTATAGACATGTAAGTTTTGTGTGGTGTAAGTTTTATTCTGATATACCACTGTAATGAGAGCACATGCAGGCCAATAGTTTGTCATGTGCTCAATCCAAGTTCTTTGGTGGTGAATTGCAGTAGTTAATTGCACATTTAGGTTTGTAATAACTGTCAACAAATAGAAAATGCACTTTTTGGCTCACGTTTTTTCTTCTGAGCATCAGCATCAAACATGTGATGTGGAGAAGATGACTGGTGAAAGTTAGGTCATAATGGCGATACTGGTTTAATTTGAGAATGCTAATGGACATTCATTTCCCGTGAACATGGCCTGATACATTGAAGTTATGAGAAGAAAATTCACCCTGGCACTGGGGTGGAAGCGAGGGGTTGACATGGATACCGTCACTGTTATCTATCGGCAAGATGAAGTAACATTGCACTAATCCAATGCTTGACTTGAATACCTGCTTCATGACTTCCCTGACTGACCCATCTCCCATTTTATGGATCACACCTGACCTGCACATTCTGAAGACATATCCCCTAAATAAAGTTTTTTGGTTGGGATACTTTAAGGGAAGGATAAAGGAAGGATCAACTTATACCACACAAAACGTACATGTCTGCATGACAGGTCTATGAAAAAAATTGGAAAATCTTCCCATTGTTAGAAAATGATACCCAATCAAAAGTGTAAATGATTTTTTGGACCACCCTGTATAAACATGTAATGAGTTTCAACACCTTTCTTCCAATGTCTGTCACCATGGCAACAAATCAGTGGACTTGTAACATTTCGATCTTCAGTGTCTGTAAGAAACTCTTACAACTTATAAGATCATATTATCATATGTATCTGTTCCAACACGTTTCTGCCAATATCTGTTACCATGGCAACAAAAAAGTGGACTTTCAGGTAAATGTAATGTTCACATAGACCTGAAATTTTTATTGTTAACATATATTTTGTGGTGACAGGGGTTTCACTAGAATTTATCACAACAGGCAAATTAATGGAAATCATAAATTTAACATGGAAAAGTTCAAATGACCCTTAAAACAACAGGCAATTTTGTAAAACAACCAGAAAAATTGCCTCTTGCCTGCTGCTAATGAAACCCTTGGGTGACATGTTGTCATGTTAATGCCTTGTTTTATGTTGTTACAGGGATCAAGTTTATAGTAGTGACAGATATTAGACAAGTTGGAGTGGAAAGCCTGTTGAAGAAACTATATGAAGTCTATGCTGATTATGCACTGAAGAATCCATTTTATTCCATAGATATGCCCATCAGGTAAAACGCAGAATAAATTAAGTCTTTAACTGATTCTTTTGTCTCATTTATAAGCCCATGTGAAATTTAAACCACGTTGGTTTGTAAATTGTAGTCTTACTTATTGTCATTTTAAAAGTGTTTCTTATCATGTTTTCTGAAAATGTTTAATCTATCTCTTTTTCTTGAAATTGCATTTTAAGAATCACACACCTCTAATAATAAACAGACAGAAATTTTATTTTCTAAAAATAAATGTCACGTAAGTTGTTATAAAGACTTGATTGTGTTCAAATACATTCAGATGTGAATGTATCTCAAGCATGAAATCGCATTCATATCTACTGGCAGTTTGTAATTATCCTATTATTGTCTATTGTTTTATTCAATCTCTAAAGCTGCAATGGAATTCAGCCATAGAAATGACAGTTTGTACTGTATTTAATATACAGACAAAATTCTGAAAAAATCTTAAATAATTCATATAATAACAAAAGGTTATTATTTATAAATATTGTAGTAATCAACAAGCTTAAATTGAAAATTGTGTATGAGATTTAGTATTGTGTATAAGTTTATCCTACATTTGTCCCCATCTTATATAGCGGGACCACCTATATCACAGTGGAGGACTGTTACAATGACTAGTTTCTGTATCATTAGCATTTTCTAAAATGCCAGAAATTGGTGTGTTTCTTCCATTTTGCTGTCTGCCGCATGGTCATTGGGGTAAAAAACCACAAGTTTAAAGGGACTCAATAAAAGTAGCTACGTTGACCAAAGTGTTTACATTTTTGGATTAGAAAAGTTTATTCATTTTGAATATGTTTAAAGGGGCTTGATAAAATTAACTACGTTGACCAAAGTGTTTACATTTTCGGATTAGAAGGGTTTGTTCACTTTGAAGGGGTGTATGTATTGAACATTTCGTGCAATACAAAATAATTCCCAGTTTTCCTAAATGCTTGCGACTTGACTGTCTTGTTGGTTCCGTAATCTTAATTGACCAGTTGGTCTGTTGGAAGAATTGTCGCCTCAGGTGCGGCAGGTTGTGGGTTCGATTACTAAAGGAATATAACTGGTTTTTACTTTTTTTGGTTGTAGACTCGCTCGTTATTCAGCAGAAATAAACAAATATACTATATAGCCACATGATGTCAGTTTTATAAAAAATATAAAAAATTTGATTAATTTAATTATTTCCAGGTGTGATTTATTCGACATCAACCTACAATCTGCAATAGAACAATCTGAGCGGACTGGGATCAGTAATGTATAGTGACATAAATATTGATGTCAGCTATGTGAAGTGACATAAATACTGATGTCAGTTATGTATAGTGACATAAATAGTGACATAAATACTGATGTCAGTTATGTATAGTGACATGAAAACTTATGTCAGTTATGGATAGTGACATTAATTCTGATGTCAGTCATGGATAGTGACATTTATTCTGATGTCAGTTATGTATATTGACATAAACACTGGTGTCAGCAATGTATAGTGACATAAATACTGATTTCAGTTATGTAAAGTGACATAAATACTGGTGTCAGTTATGTATATTGACATAAATACTGGTGTCAGCTACGTATAGTGACATAAATACTGGTGTCAGCTATGTATAGTGACATAAATGGTGGTGTCAATTATGTTTTATGACATAAATCAATGTGTCAATTATGCATTTTGACATATTCAGAATAGTGACAGTGCTACGTGTGGTTGATAATACATTTTACATTCCTCCATGGATGACAAAATCTATATAGAAATAACTCATTATATCAAGATGATAGAGTTTGTCACATCCAATATGCTTGATTGGTGACCATGTCATGTGACCTTGATTTGACCAATGATAAATAATATGCTTGACAGTCAGTTCTATATTCAAGTGTCAGGACCCCACTTATCTTCTTCACCGCCACTTGTAGTGAAAGGTGTAGTTGGGATCACAAAGGCTTGTAGCTAGACTAAGGGAAACCAGAGTAATGTGAGCGGCTTAATAACACAAATTGTTCAACTGAAAAGGTTAATGCACCAATTAAATTGCTGCTTGCACAAGGTGTTCATTAGGGGGTGACATTTTACCTTATTATTCCATATTGAATGTTTGACATTTAGGGATGGTGTCAAGATGTTGACAATTTTATTATTATGATTTAATCCCCTCCCTCATATTACGAAATTTGAGAATTTTCATTTTGCTTTCATTAAACTTTTTTAAATCAACTTTTTTCATCATCTCCCCTTCACCTTGTGAAACTAACTTTGCAATTTCACCGCATTGACTTTTTGACGCCATCCCTTATATCATATGTGTGATAATGACTTTTGTAATGACTATCTTTAAAGAAATGAGAATGTGACAAACAAAGCATTATTCGCATTTTTGAATATTCAACATTCTGTTTTACATGCAACACTAATTGTCACTTGAAAGAACATAAGTGCAGAGGCTTGTAACATAAATATGTAATGAAGTGTGATTAATCCCTATTTATCTTCAGGTTTTCCTGGCCTCTTAATGTGCTGACAAAGACATTTGCAATGTGTACCTATTTATTAGCGTTCATTACAGCGCCAATGTGCTTTTATTAATAACCTTTTGAAAAACTGTTTCATAATACGAGCATAAGGGGCCAGGTAAAAATACAATATTTTATTCATTGAGAAACAATTTTGATGTACATGTAGGCCCTGTATGTATTGAATCTTAACAAGCCTTGAAGATACATTTTTAACATTCAATAATTTTGGCATTTCAGTCCTTTTGATGGAATTTAGTTTCATATTAAATAACACATTCATATTTGACTTGACCCCCTTCTGGCTATAGATATATAATTTGTCCTTGCTGGCATAAGTTTTTTTTTATCGTTAATTCTTTTTGTTAAATGGTCTGTATATTAAATCATGGATATTGTGAAACATTTTTATGGAAAGTTAAATAATTTGCAATGATGTACTCAAGGACATTCAAGATTCTGGCTTAGATTGAAATGAAGGACAAAAGGAAAATGGCCTGTTGTAAAGATATGTTTCACTATCATCATTTCACTTTCATCAGTATTAATTGTCCTTTTACACATTACCCATTTTCCTGAAACTATGACTGTGTCATTATACATTGTAGTATGTGAATTTATCAACAAATCTACTGTGCAATATGTTAGGTGAATGTAAATAAAATGATGTATATATTTAATAAACAATAGAATTTGATGTTTTATGTTTTGATTTTAACTTTGATAAACTTGTATATGAGAATGTATTGATCAAATGTTTTGATAAAATGTTTGTTTAATATTATATGAGAATGCCATAATTTTTACTGCAATGAAGCTTGTTCAAAGGAGGCCTTTGTGTAGAATGCCGAGCACTTAAAAATAGCTTTTGAGATTCTCTTGAAAACACCCAGTGGCCTAATTTTTACCAAGTATTTCCATCCCAGGAAAACTCAGTATCTATCAGCTGTATATCAAATATCAACTTTAGCTAAATCTATCAACTTTAACAATTAATATCTTACTTACCACTTACCAGCCCATTTTTTTTAACTTTGATAAACTTGTATATGAGAATGTATTGATCAAATGTTTTGATAAAATGTTTGTTTAATATTATATGAGAATGCCATAATTTTTACTGCAATGAAGCTTGTTCAAAGGAGGCCTTTGTGTAGAATGCCGAGCACTTAAAAATAGCTTTTGAGATTCTCTTGAAAACACCCAGTGGCCTAATTTTTACCAAGTATTTCCATCCCAGGAAAACTCAGTATCTATCAGCTGTATATCGAATATCAACTTTAGCTAAATCTATCAACTTTAACAATTAATATCTTACTTACCACTTACCAGCCCATGCTAAAAACTTTATACATGCATATTGGAAATAATCGAGCAAGATTTTAGATAATATTTTCAAGGCTGCACTTGAGCTGTATCAGAATGCCTTAGATAGTTGCTCAGTACCAGTGGTTATCTTTACTCAATCCACTTTTTGTCTAAACATGATAATACAGTGCGGCATTGAGAGATGTTGATTTCTTAAATGTTATGTAAAAATATTATCAAATGTACATTTTTAGACCAGACTAGTATTTTATGGGGATCCAACCTATATCACACACAATGGCTATATGCGGGTATGCTTTCATATCAAATATAGGATGGATGACCTATATAATTAGCCTAGTATAGAAATATGTCATACATACACTGCTTGATGTTAATGATAAATGGACCATTATAATCTAAAAAATCTAATCAGCTTATTATGGTAGCTCAGATTTTTGTAATAAACTTCACCTTAAAAGATAACAACCATCATTAAAAATGAAATATATATTTTGGTTTCCAGTGTTAATTTAATTAAGAGGTGGCTAGAGTTGAACACAAATGGTTATACACCCCCTCCATAGATTAGGCAACCTGAAATCACCTGTGAAAACTGTGTCAAAGACTGTTTATGCTTACTGTTAATGTTTATTTTGTTCCTCAAAACACAACAATATAAAAACAAGGGATGATTACATGAAAAATGTCACCACCTGCCATTTGTTACACAGATTGACTACCAAACACCATCTACAAAAAAGTTGGAAGATTAACAATATGTCACAACTTCTTGTGATGACATAACAAATCATGGATTGTCTAGCATATCGACTAAGCATCTACATCGACTACATGTGATCTGAAAGGGAACCTCACGTTGCCACGCATTTGTAGCTAAGTGTACAGAGACTGCACACTTTGATAATAGACTTATTGATAAAGATAACCCTGAATTTGGGAAAGTTATGAAAACACAGAATGAAATTCTGCGCCAAGGGCTGGTGTGAAGAAGTCCCACCTAGTGGTATTTAATCATGTCATCATCAGAAGTGGTGACATATTTTTAGTCTCCAACTTTTTTGTTCATAGTGTTCAGCATTTAGGGTTCAGCGCATGTTACAAATTCTAACAACTTCCAATAACTGATGGTGACATTTTGTCATGTTAATTTTTGTAAAAGGCAAATGATAAATTCATCAAGAGCCAATATAATCATCAAAATGTAATAATTATATGCATAATGAATTTTCCTGTGATAGGTGTCTCATTCTAAATTAGATGAAATAGACTTCTAATATCAAAATCTATTACTGTAATCATACTTTTTCCATTGCTGGTAGGCAAAACATTGGATGGGTCCAATAAATCAAGCTGGTGTTCATATATCATGATGAATATAGATGCATTCAATTTCCATCAAATGCATTTTGTTCATCTTAGTAATGGTAGTATTTATGATCAACAGAACTTTTTATTAGTAACTGTTCACTACTAAATCAAATGTCTTATATTTGATATTGGAAAATATTCGTGAATGCAACTAACGCCTGTCAGCTACCAGATTAACCTACCATTTTATGGGTTACATGTTTAAATGAGTTGGCCATAAAATACTAGATTAATCCAGTAGCAGACAGGCTTTTGTTGCATTCCCTTAAAATACAAGTTAAATAAAATCACCAAGAAGTTAGATAACAATGGCAATAACACATTTTCCGTCTTTTTCCAAAATGTTGAGCATAAATGTTTGACACAAGAAATTCTTTAAACATACGAGTGTGACGTCATCATTACATTATTTTAGGAGATGTTACTTTCAACTTTTACATACAGATTCTGTTTGACATTTAAGTATTTATTAATAGATTCCTTCAATATACCACAATAACTTTTTTATGTCACCACCAAAAGCTATGAGCAGGGTTTGAAGATTGTATATGCTTGGTTAGTATTCTATACTTAAATTCAAAAATGGCTGACTTTTCCTTACCATGGGTCACTTGTCATTAATATAACAAGAGCAAAAAAAGTTGGTTAATGTTTACTCCCATCTATTTTATAATTGTGCAGTTTTTCAATAATGACACAATTACAGTCTACTGAAGTATCATTACTGGTAATATTTTGGTACTTCGATCATGATGGAATAAAACATTTTCAAAATATTGATGGTAGAAGCTCATTCGTTCATATGTTGCTACAACATTTTTTCTCTCATCTGTTACATCTGTTATTTGTAATAGATATTGTGGCGTTTACTGTATTTTGTGATAGATTTGGCACAATTTTTATCTCTCGACCAGAAAAATAATAAAGAGATGTTAAAAATTAACTATATGTCAATAGCAAAACTTATCATTATCAATTAACATTATCAATATTTAAAAGGTCATTTATTCACTTGTAGTTGGTAAACAATAATTTCCATTAACATATTTCAATTTTACAAAATAAATTTGAATTGTTACACCTTTTCTGAATTTTATTGAAGTTTTGGTGAACACAGTTCACACATTTTAGGAACAGAGTTGGGACATATTTTGTTCAGAGTTTGCTTTTAGAAAAGTATTACAGTATAAACCTTACAATCAGCAAATATCAATGCATTTGTAAAACTTGACATACAACTACGACAAGTTATACTTTGATATTCTACATTCTAGCCTAACTAGTAAACATACTAAAAGATGCATGTCTCACTGACTGCATGAATCTGATGATTTTTTAAATTTCCCTGAACCTTTCTTAGAATTCTTTCCACACCATTTCAGTTGAGTAAGTTTACTGTCTTTTATAAGTTGAAGAAAATGACTATCCTTAGGTCTACTTGCAGGGAGGTAACCAGGATCTAAAAGAAGTTGAGGCAAATTGCATGAGCCTAAACATGCTAAAGGAGGTGTATTACAACTTTTAAACTTAATTTCACAATTAGGCTATTATAGCTTGAAAAATGGGTCGCATGCCTAATGCTACACCCATAACTTGGAGTATACATTGTCAGATTCTGAATTGTTGACAGCTGCCCTTCGCCTCATGTCACTAAAAAAGACCGATAACTACTGAACTACATCTTGCCTATCTAATTTGACATTATCCAAGTCCAGGATAAGCATATACTACATGTATACATTAGTATATTGTCCAGATCGAGGTAGATTTGGTATTCCTTGATGAGCTATCATTTTGTTTTCAGTCTCCGACTTCTTCGTACATTTCCTGGTCCATTTTCTTCTTTTTGTGTCTTTTTATTTTTAGCTGGAGTTGGACCTGATGAAGTGGATCTGCGTTTAGAGGCAGCCTTTGTTTTTCTTGTGACCTTTGAGTTTGTGTCAACTTCTTCCTTCTTTACTCTCTTGTTTTGGCTCTTAGACTTAATTGGAGATTCTTCTTCTTCTTCCTGAAAATCCATACTGTTCTTGTAAAACTCTGAGCATTTTAATTTCATTTCCAGAATAATTTAACCATGATAATTACAATATGTAACAATACTTTGATTGAGATCAGATTGTTTTAATATGCAATAATTGGTGTTTTTTGTTTTTGTGTTTTTCTAAAAATGACCTAATGTGCATGACTTTGAGAAACAATTTAAAAAACTAACATAATCCACTTTGTCAATTCTGAGGTTGAAATTGAATTGCCAAATACCTAATTCAAATCAATATGTTTTGATAATTGTCATTGCCAAAACAGATAGAATACAAGTCAGAGACATTTTAAATGAGCTGGGTACTCTTAACTCTTGCTAATGTTAGACAGTTTAATCGTGAATATATTTTAAATATTGGACTAAAAGTCATTTTTGACAATGTTTTTGACAATGTATAATGTTATCTTATAACATGGCATCTTTGTAACTCCCCCCACTGCAGGAGTTGAGATGTAATCAATTAATTTGCACAATATTTAAGAATCTTGATTTTATTTATAGATCATTTTGCTATATTTATTTGATCAGTTGTCTTTTAGAACAGTTGGCCCACAGCAATATATCCAAGTAGTGTGAAAATCTGGAGTTGCAATAAATATATATAAATAAATATTTCACAATCCTTGGGAAATGCTTAATGCTTAATATGTTATGATAACCTCATCAAATATAAATTCAGGTTAAAGCTATACTCACCTGGATACTTACTTCGGAGACTTTGTTCTTTTTCTGTCTTTTCTTTGTAGCTCTTGTTTTAGCATCTAAAACATTATACACACTTTATATTTTTGAACAATTAAAGTGTTTTATTCAAGAACATATTTTTAGTGGCCCAACATGGCTAATGTGTCATTCAGTGGATTTTCATAAAAATCACTTGAAAAGTTGAAATATCATTGGATAAAAATGTTAACTACGGTATCAATTTATTGACTGAGATTTAAATTTTAGAGCTTATACAAAATACATGAATTATTTAATTAAAGTGTGCTGAAATTAAAACAATTTACTCATAATACACTCCATGAGTTTTGTTAAGTATAATTTCCAATCTCCAATATGCTTAGATAATAATTTTACCTTTAGGTATCATAGGACCTGGTGGGCCACTGAACCACATTGTACGTTTGTTATGGTCAGCAATGTTTGACATTCCTGGCTGGTAGTAGCATTGTAGCCATTGGGAAAATTCAGAGTACTGCTCTGCTCCACCTTCTGGGTCATAACCCTTGCCCCCTGGAACATCAAATGTCATTTAGTAAGGCTAAACTCCTGAACTCAAATTGTTTAAGAGCACATGGGAACAGCATTTGTATGATCTATGGGCCTAGGTATAAACTGTTGTATATACTAACATGGTACTATCAAACTGTTCTTTATTGTTTTTGACCATGCAAGGAGGATTGGCTTCCAGGTGCCAACACAATATTCTGCCATATATAGAGTCATGTCGTGGTTATAAAATTCAAAATCAAACAGCTGCCAATTTTTCACTTTAGAATTTGATTTTGGTCTTACATATATTTCTCAAAAATATTCAAAACACAAAAGAAGAGATCAAGATATTCGTTCAAATCTTTTGGATCACTGATTATGAATTTATAGTCCGTGGGCTTATCAAGTCAGAAAATAATTTTGTTGATCAAGGTCAATGTCAAATATTGAGTTTGAACCCATGGGAGCCATCCTCCTTGGTTCTTGTTTATAGAAATAAAAGTCCATATTATTTACCTCCTAATTTCACCTCTGTTTCCTCATTCCTTATTCAGAGTTCTCACATTTTAATGAATCAGAAATAACATCATGACTTACCAAGGTTAACAACTTCAAGTGGAACAATATTACACATGGCCAACAGATCAGGGGTTTCAGATTTGACTTTTGTATCCCCCTGTAGCTTCAGAGGTTCCAAGACATCTCTAGCACAAACAAATGGAGGAATATGTAGTCTAAAATATAAAAATACATTTCATGAATATAAGTATAGGATATCGGATCCTATGATTTTGAGGGATATCTGTGGAATATTCTCCGTATTCCACAGATATTACTTTTTTCAACCCATTTGCAAAATATCACAAATATATATAGGCCTATGTGTAATTCTACAGACTTGACCTCAACTATGGGATAAATGTACATATACTAGTACTGTCTGTTGAGGCAAATTGATATATCCTGGAGCTTCAAACAGGGGAATGAAGAATGGTTTATAGATTGATAAAATTGAGAATTGGTTGCTTTTTGCATCTTTAAAGAATGAAGCTCAGATTGGTATCTCGACAACATCTAGTTTTAACTTGAACTGAAGTCTGTTCACAGTTCAGAATCTAATTACCTGTAAAGTATCTCTGCTCTCAAGTAGTTACCAATGCCATTGAAGAACTTCTGGTTTAACATTGCCTCACATATAGGACGGTCAAATGCAGCTGTACTCAGATTGTCAAGTACATTCTTCCTAAATAATATAATGAATAAGCTACATGTACAGGTATGTATCAACCGGACACCTGGTTATTGCCTATGATTTTTATCATGGGCTTGAATCGACATCATGTGCACTTCCATTTTCTATAAAGTATTGGTGTTGTGACTGTGGGAGCAAAGCATTACTTTTTGTTCCAATGGTGTCTCGTGATAGTTTGTTTGTTAAGACAAGAGTAGGTACAGTGGGACACCCGGCTCTCAGTAAGACCATGGGCTTTCAACTATCTAGTTGAAAGCCCATGGTAAGACTATCAGATTTATTAATAAAGACGCTGCGTGCACAGAACTATATGGTTATATTCTGATATTTACCTGAACGCATCATATTCAAACAATACACATGGGCCTCTTTGTTTGCCCCAGTCACCATTCACTTCCCATTTACCAAATCTCCTAACATCAACAAAACTGAGCACCTTCTTTGGAGAACCATCTGTGAAGAATTGAAGATGAGCATGTTTGTGAATGTCCTTTGGAGAGTCAGAAGTAAATTGGAACTTTCCTGACATTCCAAATCTAAATATAATATCCATAGATTTGGGGATTTTTGGTGGTTTTGAGGTCTTTGTTGTTTTGTTGTCCATGGTATGTAGTGTTAACTTGACTTCTTTTCCTCTTGAAGTGGCAGAAATTGTGTAACTTTTTTCATTCCATGGAATTTCAGGATTTTTGTGGCTCACTTCAGACTTGAAAATTGCGCCAGAGAACATTCGATCAGAGCACACGTGGTTAACAAACCGGCTTGCCATGTGTAATTCTGGACCCTCTGGCATTTTGCACGACTCAGAGTATCAAGTTTTGATGTAAACAGCGAAGCAATTTTGTCAGATTTATGTAACTTTCACATGTACATAAACCGGAAGTAAACAATTGAGCGCCCCAAGCGGCGGTATTTCAAACTAATTGGCACTCCATTTGATATTTTGGGAATCCACGAAGTAAAAGTACTGGCTTTGGCTTTATCTTCTTCATTTGTGTATATCTGTTCAATTTATTCACCCATTCTGATGATTATCTAAGAATATGCTTATTTTGTCACATTTAGATTCCATGAATTTAAATTTTGATGACACATTGTAAATTCAAGAGCATATGCACCTAAATTTAAAACAATTTATAGAGAATTACAACTTAATGTCAGTTAATGATATGCAATTTTAAAATGTTCTAGCTTGTGATAAGTCATACACCCCCTGAGTCTTTATCATTATTATGTAAATATGTTAATATGATTTAAATAAATAAATAGAAAAAAAAATGAGTCAACAGTACATGATTATAGAAGTAATCATTACAGTCAACAATACATGTAGCTGTAATCGAGTCTTTCCAGTGAAAGGCAACCCTTTAATTGTAATGTATTCCTAGATCACTTAGAAATTAAAAAACAAGGCCCAAAAAGGCCAAGTAATTCCCAAAAGGTCAACTAAATGAGGCCCTACAAAATCCTCCACCCCCCTGGATCCACCAGTGATTCCAAACATTATTTTTATTCTAAGGCTGCATGTGCATCATCATCCATGATCATGTAAACTCTCTGATAAAGTTTGATAAAAATTTGACTGCATAACAAGAGCATATGTACCTGCATATGTAAGTTAATTCATTCACAATTGTGGAAAGAATTTTCTTTCAAAATTATATTGCAAAATAGAATATTTGTATCAAAACCTATTGATGATCCAAGTTTGAATTCATTTATAATTAGCAGTTTAGGATGTTAAATTTTTCTGAAATTTGGCATATTTTTAGGATGCATGAAAGAAATGAATCACTCTTACAACAGATATACATTATAATTCATATTGTATTAATAATTATATACATATGTACATTTATAATGTGATACGTTAATATGGTTGTTACTGTATCTCGTTCATTACTGCCTGACAACCTGAATTGAGGCAAAATGTCAATGTTCATTGTCACTGTTATCCTACTGTTCTTTGTTATATCACTACATACACTATGCTTTTGTTGATGTAACTCATCTTTGATGTTCATTCTTTAAACTTCCATTCTTGTCTGCACATCGGACATAGCTGGTGCACTTGTTGCGAGTTCAACCATTTCACGATACAGTGAATGTGAAAACAATGTGAACACTGACCCCAAACTGAAATAACATATAAAATGTACATGTAAATTTTACATGTTGCTGTTTGTACAATAACCAATGTTAATATTTGCTGGAATTACACCATGCGTTTAAGAAAGGCACCTAAGGTTTTAACCAGGTTTGAAAAATAAGTGTAATCAGGATTGCGGTTTTACAGGCTTGTACGAAGCCCGTTTTTGAGGCCTGTGCAAGCTTGTACGATGCTCATAATTGTTGTTTTCGAGGCCCGTACGAGCACATATGAGGCTCGTAATTTCGAGGCCCGCACGAGCTTGTACGAGGCCCATTATCGAACTCTGAACAAAAAAATAACTGCTGTCATGCTACATGATTTGCATCTATCCAGAACATGCTATGTATGTTTAATCATGTCAGATTGATGTTTTAATTCACACATTCAATGACGATAACATTTATTTACATCACATTTCGACATATTCCAATACCACACGCAAAATATGCAAAATTTTATATGCATTTACTTCACTTGTAGAGAACTATGGTGTCTCGTATTGGTTACCCTCCTGTTTATTTTGTTTCCTAGCTTTATTGAAGACATATTAATTCATAATTAGATATAATTGAAATGTCATTTCTCAAGTATGTTGTATTTTATTTCATCAATCAAAAAGTGTTCATCAAAATAAACGAGCAATTACGAGCCTCGTTACAAGCCCCATACGGGCAAGTACAGTGCTCAAAACTTACAAGCCATTATGGGCCTTGTTACGGGCATCACACAGGCAAGTACAAGGCTCGAAAATTACGGCCTATTACGGGCCTCGTAACAGGCACCAGTAAGTACGGGGAGCGAAAATTTTGATTTATTACAGGGCTCGTTAAGGACACCATACTGTCAAGTACAGGGGTCAAAAATTACGAGCTATTACGAGCTTTGTAATCACAAGCTCTTACGTAGTTCAACAAGTTAAACCTAGTCTGGGCCTTATTTCTTATCTGACATTTCTTGTGGCCCGCCCTAGGTTTAACATCCGTGCCTATTCGACCCTTGATGCAAAAAATTTTAATGATGGCCTATGGCAGCGCATAGAATTCTTCGGCGTTTTATTAATAACTGATAGTGACAATTTGCAACCAATGAAAGCATAGCACGGAAGTTAAACCCAACCACGGCAAAAAGAACACTCAGATGAATGCCGTGGTATTGGGTTTAACTTGTTGAACTAGCTCTTACGAGGCTCGAAAATTACAAGTAATTACAAGACTCGTAACGAGTCACAAGAAAACATAATATTGTTGGTCATCATTTCTAAAATAATACTACCAGTTTGACATAAAGATGACAATAATAGCTTTACAAAGGCAAGGCTTAAATGTTGTTGTTTTTTGTTGTTGTTTTTTTATTAAAATTTTTATTCCAAAAAATATAACATATTAAATGTTGTTAATGTTAACCATTTAAAGTTAATTAACATTGCCGTCTGTAGAATATTGTTGTCTTTATCAATGAATTACTGCAATGTCTGGTTTCTCAATTGTTAATACGACATTCAACAAAAGCAAAAATAGTTTTTCTAATGGTGTGCCTAAATGATTATTCACTTTCCTCTCTAACACTGTTTTGAGGGTACTGGTCGGTGGTCATCGGTAAGTTCTTTTTCGTAGACCGATGGGCTTTCAATTCATGAGGCTAATTGAAAGCCAATGGCAAGCCCTTGGCTTGTATCACTCATATAAAATTTCCAGTAAAATCTCACCTAGTGGGCAATCATCACCAGGAAGTCTACAATCAGGACAGCACCCATCAAAGGCGAATCGGCAGATCCCACAATTGTCATCATTCGCGACCCATCTCCATGTTGCAACAGCTGTCCAACCTGGAGAATAAAGTTTCATCTTTCTTGTAATTATGGTTTTAGAGCATGAATCCCACATTTTATACATAGGCCTACATGAAACCTCAAGCCAATCAAAAAGCTTGAAAATGTAAATGACGTGGGCGATAATATGTTTTTTTACAGAAATAATTATTGAACGGTCTTATTTACGATACAGATTCAATAGATATTTACATATTTATATCTAATACATAAATAAATGTGTGCAATATTACTTTTTGCCACAAACAAGTTGTTAATTCCATTAATACCAGTTAAAAGTACCTTTTATTCGGACCTTCATTTTCCCTCAGAATATTTCAAATTTTACTATCTCCACAATTGAAGAGCTCCAAGTCCGAGCTAGTAAAACTTCGAAATTTGCAAATCTCCCAAGATAATGTCAATTTTCAAGCGATGTTGAAGTAGCGGGTCCCCTGTTTTGCCGATTTGAAATGGAGTAAGTATTGAAGTGTTCCTAGGTCGTACTATTTCAAACTTTTGTGTGTTTATATATGACAAATTGGAGTTGCAAACATTTTTTGTTGAAAAAATAAAAAACGTGATTTTTTGTCTATTATCACCCGCATCAAATTGCACAGTGCTTCTACTCTAGGGGTTTCATTTTACCAACCTTTTCTCGGAATTGTTACCTTACCCTTACCTTTTCCTTTTGACAAAATTATCTAAAGTTGGCAACATAAACAGGCCTGTCAACTTGGGAACACTGGAAATGTTGAACACCTTCTCTCAAAATGTGGACACCTTGGTCCACTGAACACCTTGATCCAAATTTCGGTACAAAAAATTTCGAACGGAATGCGTGACATATACGTGATTCGCGTGAAAAGTCTGAACGGAATGCGTACGTTTTTTTTCGCGTTAGTATTTTTGCAGTATCGACAAACTTTTTAGAAATTTTTTTACAGAAATATTTTTTGCTTGACAATTTCAAGGTAAAATGCGTATTTGCGTGACATTTTCTGTCATGCAAAAAAACTGGCGTGACTTCAAATTCTTCAGCAAATGCGTGGCAAATACACAAATTGTGGGACAGTTGACAAGCCTGCATAAATAATGACACTATAAAAAAGACATCCCGTCACATTACCCCCATAAATGTTTTTTCTACCAAAGGTAGATGTGCATATCTCACGAGGGATGAACCAAATATCCAAACCGACTGTACATAACTGCTTTATCCTATACCAAGTAGAGTTTTCAGGGGCATATGGCCATTTCAATAGTACAAGGTGTAAAAATAAACAAATCATTCATATGCAAAGTCATTTTATTGCATTACCGGAAGCGGGAAGATATGCACCGGAAGCGGGAAGATATGCACCGAAGCGGGAGATATGGCGGGAGATATGGAGGTTCTGGATATGGAAACCTCAAAATCAGGATACGGGATATATCTTACCAACTTATCTCCCTTAAACTCTAGTTGGCATAGGATAAATACTAAGGGTCTAGCGGTGCACCGAAACCGCGGTTCTAGGGCCTTGGTCGGTACGTTCGGTTCGAAAACTCCGATGTTCGGTTTTTTAACGGCTCTTTAATTCAGAAAAAGTGCCGTTCGCTTAAGTTGAGGAAGATGGATCTCGAAACGAGAGGTGAAGATTTCGGCATTCTAAATGCTCCAAAGTCGTATAAGGCCCACTGTTGGGGTTATTTTGGATTTCCAACGAGAGATGGTGTTGAATACATTAGTTAGATGAAGTGTCAATTTGAGTTATTTGATTTTTTACATTAAAGTGCGATAAGAACCGAAAACCGAACCGAAACCGAACCGAAACCGAACCGAAAGATAAAAAACGTGAACCGAACCGAACCGAGGAATTATGAAACCGTGAGAGCCCTAATAAATACACATATTTGAAGCAAATGCATGACATATACGGAATTGGTGTGAAAAGTCCGAACAGAATGCGTTCCCTTTTTCGACGTTCTTTTTTTACCGTATCAGCATTTTATAAAAAAGCATTTTTTTAAATATCAACATAATGCGTAATTTGTGTGACATTTTATCATACACTCAAAATTGATGATTCCATTTTTTCCTGCAAATGCGTGATAATCACGCCTAATGCGTGAGGGTTGACAGGGCAGCATCTATATCTAAGAGGGGAGGTTCTAAAGAGCTTTATGCAAGACAAATACCTGTGTTTCTCGTCCATTGTTTATTTATCAGTCTCTGGTTCCTTTCATATCTGTGTAATTTGCTGTCATCTCATTTTCTTCTATTTTTCATCTCATTCATGTTGACTTATTCTAGTCACTGGTACCCATTATCTCAACATTACAATTAGATGTTAAGGGCCATCACTTCAGAAGCCAATCAAATTACTAGAATTTTTTATTGACCAATTACGATATTCTGTAATTTCCAGGTAAATGGGCTCAGACTGCCCAATAGTATCACCCAAATGGAGTTGTCCCTTTAGAAAAATCAAGATCTATCATTAGTGAGATCCCTGTATTGTAAGTAAGCTTACATACAGTTGTACATAGAGTAGTCATCAATTTTTATCTTTTTGTTAATTTTAGAGGATGTGAATAAAATGAACCAGTACTTTCCATCAGTGATTCCAAGAACAAAATTTCATTACTACTCAGAACGTCAAAAAGAGTTTTCTGGCTACGGGAGCCATGGAGCATTCAATATTAAGGTATGTTTGAATATTAGACCAATTCACACGAATTAATGTATTTTAGAAATGTTCACTTCCAGAGGTCAGAATTCATGCATGAGTTGCTTTATTTCAATTTCACAACTTGTTCATCGTATCTGATTTTGACCAAATACTTTCTTTTGAAATATCATTGTGTGACCACCATTCCTTTCTTGCAACAATAATAGTTATACAATATACATGTAGTTGCTATGACAACAATGTTATACTTTTAGACAACTGATGAAGGAGACTGTCAGTTTGTCTTCCAAAGAGAGCAGAGATCTGAGAGGTTTCGTCTTGTGGCTTCACAACCTGCCCTTCCACTAGGCTTGCCAAATAATAGTAAGAACTAGTTTTATAATAATATTGCTTAATCTTATAAATGAAGTACAGGATGTAATAATACTCCAGACAACATCCAAGATATGAACATCAGAAGATATAATTTAACAAATCAGATTTTGTACTTTAAGCTATCTTAACTAAAAAAGATTGTTGATGAAGTTTGTATAGAATATGAAAACATTTCAATCCAACTAAAATCAATAACCCAGATGCGAGTAGAAATAATCTTGATTTACGTCATTAAAAATTCAAAATTCAGTCAAACTAATATCATATTTGAAATCTACATGTAAAATTACATCTAGAAGTGTGGTTTTAAAAAGTGTTTATCAATTTTGAAAAATTAATTTTCTTTGAAAATGTGACTTCTAGCTCGGGGAGATTCCCCATAGACCCCATGCTATAAAATCACAAAAAAGGATTATCTTTTTTAGTGGACAGATAATATTTTGCTTTACTGGACATATTTTCATTAGTATAAGTATCAGACGCATAAGGGTTATATGAAAATTGAGCCACTTAAATTGATAATATTCAAGTTTAAGGGAACTTTCTCATATACCTGCCATGTTAATTGACCCGAATCAGCCACCTGGTGGTGAAACTGGTAACTACCTACTCGCATTTGGGTAATTGAGATTATTTATTCTAATTAAGATGTCATCAGATTCACTTCATGCCTTGTTCACATTGATGTATTCCAACATTTTAGAGTGGGGGGGGGGTGAAATGTATGATATTAATGGTTGCACATTCATTTTTAGCTTTTGTTGAAGAGAGCTGCCCTCTATTGGGAGACTTGCAGCAGAGCAAGAAGACATTCTCTGATACCATATTCCAAATCACTAAAGCAATAGGCTTTCACAAAGTAGGTTTTTGTTTTATGTTTATGGAATCACCATGATGACAGTGAACACTGATTATTACATTGTGTTGTAGACTCTCTTGTCCATTGTTATGTATTCAGGATACAAATTACATGATGTACGTGTAGATTAAAATTATTAACAGGAATTTGATTATATACATGAGCCATAATTCAGTCAGGCCCTTAGCTAGGATTTGCCAAGTGGGGTTCACTTTTTGAAAACTTCCAAGGGGAAAATTCCCAGAATAACATGAACAACTCTCATTTATGAACTGTTCACATTTTTGCAAAGGCAGATTGAACATTGTTTCCTTTCACATTAGATCATGGTCTGGGATAGTTGAGGTTTGTTTTCCTCATGGCTGGTGTACTCATAGATGTTTTCCTTGTCCTGCTGTATTCAGTACAGTTTTTGGTCTTCCCTTTGGCACATGTACATATACATGTATTCATTTGATGCTCATTTACTTCATATCTGTAATTTCATGTATATGCAATTTCTTCTGTTAGACAAATGCAGAGAGGCGTTCGTTACTGAACCGCTACAGAGACATATTGCGGAATCATGACCCAGAGACATTCAACAAGTCACGTGATATTGATCCTGAGGCCATCTTTCCCAAAAGATTGGAACGCTTTGTTAGGGGCTCCTCCAGGGATGTGTTCCTAAAGGATCCATATACACCAGTAAAAATATTTTATACATTATAATATCTATATCTATCAATTTAAGGGCATTGCCCAAGCTTCATTGCCTCCCAGCATCCTTCAGCATCCTTCATAGTGTATGTACATGTATAGATGTATATACAAGTGTTGTATATTATTCACTATATATTTTACGGCTTTATTTTCAGTCTGTAAATTACAAATATACTGGTGGAAGCCTTGGCAGAAGTGCCATATTCTCAGGAAATGAACTGCATAATGTATTATTCCACCCCAGTGGAGCCAACATGGATGTTCTTACATGTACAGAAATGGAGGTTCTCCCTTGTGGTTCTACGATGACACCAAACCCCACTGGAACCATAAACTTAAATAGTGGAAAGATTTGTGAGATTTCCACAGCTAGTAACACTAAACATTATGATGATAACTGTGTAATTGCCATCAGAACTGAACAAACTGCAATGTTATTAAAATATCAGCAAGCAAAAGCTGATAATCCATTCGTGGTGCTTCATGAAAAGCAGTGTAAAGAGGCGACATCTATAGCTTTGAGTCCCTACATAGATACAGAATATTTGGTTGCTACGGGAACTGGAGCTGTTGAATTATGGTCACTTGATAGGTAAATAATATATCATATACTCCACTGATAATGTTAAACTAAATTAAGATTCCTTAGAGGCCGCATTATGTAGACCTCTAGATTATGAAATTTTAGAAGCCATGCCTAGTGAATCAAGTGAATATCATTCAATTGTAGGATATCCTTTTTATCTCTGACGGTCAAAATGATAATTGAAATGAAAAAATATGAGCTAGGAACATATTCACATATAAACAACAACGAAGATTTAGATAAGGTCTTACTATTCAAATTTCAAATGATACAACAGTATAAGATAAGCATGACATTACACACTGAAACAATATTAATGCCTATTCGATATTTTCCAGGATGGAGATGGTGTGTGATGCTAGCTCTCCAAGGTTTCAGTGTAAGGATGAGTGGACCCAGACTAACTTTGGATCTCACCCAAGATGTATTACACTTGCTGACAGGACAGGGCTTGGATATATTGACACAAGGGTATGAAAATGCTCAAGCTCTTAAGTGCTTATAACTCTGTAGTATACTTTTCATTGTTCATCAGTAAAATGCACAGTAGATTTGTAGCTTTTCCCACAATACTCCAAACATTTGTTCTGAAGCTAATTTTGTATGTTATGGTAAGATTATGGGTTTTAGATTAGTGAAAGATATGTGTATGTTTCTGAAAACTAATAAATAAATCTTTTATAACATGGAAATCATGAAGTCAGTTTTGAAGATGCATTAATGAACTTTGGAATTCCTGAACTGGCTAAATATGTTTGACATTTGTTGATATAATTAGATATGCATACAGGAAGTTAATAATTGAACAGGAAGTTAACAAACAAGAAATTAACAAACAGGAAGTTAACAATAAGAAATTAACAAACAGGGGAATAATTTTTTGTAAAGCATGTTTAAAATACTACTATGAATTTATTTCAATATTATATTGTAGGAATTGGGTTATCAGGAAGTTAACAAACCAGAGAAGGGATTCTTTGTGTAAAGCATGTTTAAAATACCACTTTGAATTTTTTTCAAAATTATATTGCAGATAAGGGGTAAACGGGAGATTCAAGATATATTCTCATTACCCCACAAATGCCTTGATACCAAAGAAAGATTAATGTGCAGTGCCCCCTATACACCAGGTTCATTCTACCACGTGGTTGCAACAGATCAACGCCTGTTCTTGCTTGATGAAAGATTTCCTAACCACCCAGTAAGTTATCGTGAAATTAAGTGCCTTGACAATTACAACTGGGCCTGCAAGTTTTGACTTCAGAGTGCCCATAAATTCTCTTTACAGTTAATTTAAAGTCTGCCATTGTAAAAATACTTTATGGATACCCTGTATATCAACAGCATACTTGCATTGAAATCAAATCTTTATATAAATACCCCCGATAAAGTGATCGGCTTAATAAGATGGTCTCAATGTTTAACAAAACAGAAAATATGTATTTTAGGCACAAGCCTCATGACAAGTATTTCCACATTTTTAATCATGTAACACATATCTTTGCTGTGCATTTCCAGGTGCTACAGTGGAAACATATGTTATTGAAACCCCCTCAGTATATAGATGTCACTACTAGTGGTTTACCCGATTCCTCTGATGACATCATCATAGTCTCCAGCCAAGAATGCGGGGAAATGATGTGCTTCCAATGCAATACCTCATCAAATGACCTTGACCTATTCAACATGATGTCAGAGCCAGATGTGTACCATTCCACTCCCAGAAGTACTTGTACACAGTGGAGGGCCTCCCAAATCAGGTTAGCAAAACTCTTGGAATCATGACTAGGACTTAAAAAGTACTTGCAAAAGTACTTGTTTGTCAGTCACCATAAGAAGTGACATCTTGTTATAGTGTCTAACTTTTTTGTTGATGGTGTTTGGTGTCTGGTAGTCCGCTTTCAGAGTTCAGCATCTGTAACAAATGGCAGGTGGTGACATTTTGCATGTTGATGCCTTGTTTATATTCTGTACTGTACAGATTGCTATGTATTTAGAACATTTTACATTATGGGAGAAGTTAATTGATAAAAAGACGTATTGCCATTTTGCTCCATGGGGGTGAAATGTTGAAACTAGTATATCACACTCAATGTTTGTTAACTGTTTATATAACACTAAATGAAGTTGAAATAAATTGATGGCATTAAGTAAATTCAACATTGTACACATATTTCAGTGATTTTCCCAAAGCTTCGAGTCTTATGGGTGTCACTGAAGAAAATAGAAAGATGCTAGACTTGAGACTGGGGGTGGCCATACAAGGGATCTGTGCAATTAATCTCAAAGAGGGACATGGGTTTACAGCAATACAGGTACAGTAAAATCCATGTATATTCAACATTTTTTTGCCGAGAAAAACATTCAGTGTTGGTAGGAGTTCACAACAGAAGGGGTAATTTATACAGAAGTCTTTAGAGTATGTGGGAAGGAAGGGTGTCTTCTAGGCAGGTGTTCACTATTGAGAGTGAGGGGTGTTCAATACAGGTTTTACTGTATATGCGTGTTTATTTGTGACTGTTTTGTGTAATTTATTCTGATAGGTTTCAAAGATCAAACATGCAACATCAATGTACATTTGTACTATTCATTACCAAGATTTAATATCTGAAAAAATATATCTCATAAAATATTGAAGTAATTAAAAAGTCAAGAGACAGAATCCGGGGATGTCAAAACTACTGCCTCATAACTTTATAAATTGATCTATTTTAATCAAATTAAGTCATAGTTTAAGTCAGCGAGCAAAAAAGAAATTAAATTGTGACAATTTTCCGGAATTTTATCCTTGAATTATCCTTTTCCTTTGTTCCCCTTTTAAGTATTACCTAAAAAACCTGTGTAAGATATTCCTGTCAGTTTATAATAAACATACATTTTTATTCAGATGTCGGCTTATGGGGACCTGTTCTACCAGGCCTTCACTCCTGTGATGGATCAACGACTTGATAAAACATGCTCCAGTGGACCATGTGGCTCAGAGGGCTTGAACCTAAATGAGGAGAATAGGATGCAATGTGCCCAATGGGTGCAGCACTGCAAAACACTGGTGAGGAATCAGCCTCAACTAGGACATCCTTGTGATGTGACCTCAAATTTTAGTGGTAAGACATTGACTTGTTACCTCAATTACTCTAAAGGTAAAAGTTACGTAAGACAAACTTTTTTTGGATAATTCTATTTCTATGTACCTGGGGAGTGAAAACAATAATTTTTTCAAATGGTACATCTTGTTTTCCATGATCTTTTGTACAGTTACTATATAAAGTTAAGTTATTATTTAGAGTTTCATGTCTAGATTATTGCACAATGTATGAAAACATATATACATCCATGTATATTCAATGAACATACACATATTTCATGTTATAGCAATCAGTACAATACGGTACCCCCATCTATTGTGTGCCCTCTGCAGGGGTGACATGCCTGCTGTTGAATGTAATCCAGCAGACTTTTGTGAAGCATGTGGATTTTCCTTGTCTAAGGGAAGACAACTCAAGAAATCAGCTCAACAGGTTCATTTATTTTCATAAAATTTTTATGTTTTGAAATAAGTATTCTCTGATTCATAATTGACAAGCAATTTTTGAAACCACATTTCTGCATTTCTATATGTTCAATCTAAACATTGGATTACTTTAAAAATTGAATCAATACATTGATTTCTGCTTGTAGTTGTATCTACTTATTTGGGAGCTCAAAGGTGAAGAGTTAATGTTATACTGTAAATACATTTGTCGTATGATCTGTAAAACGAAGCCTTCTGATTGGTCAGTTCTTGTGCTGTACCAATCTGTATTGCTACTGAGATCCTCCCCATTGATCATCTCCGTCGCAATACAGAAAATATTGGTACGGAGGGGACATTCTCAGTAGCAATACAGAGGATCACACGGAATTTCTCGAGCAGAATATATCCTGTATTGCACTTCAAATCATTCAATAACTTATAGTACTGTATGTGTATTTGAATTATCTTCAGGGTGCAGTAATTCATGCAAGCTCAAGTGATATTCAACCTGGCTTTCCCAGCATTATACACAGACTACCTCCAGTGAATCCTCGACACAATGACAGGGCCATGAGTAAACTTATGATATGCCTATGGACAGAAGATGAAGATGTTGGAGATATTGTCATACAGCTTGATAAAGAACGTAAAGAACGTAAACTACAAGAAGACAAAGAGGAAACACAGAGTGTGTTAAATGAGTCAATTTCATCATCTATTTTGGAAGATATAGAAGAGATGAGTGTTCAGGATAGTTCTTCATATGACCAACCCCAAATGGAATCTATATTAGAAAACAATGACATACCACAAAACAATTTTGAGATGGTATCGACTGCTGATGACATTAACAATTTTGATATCCCAAGTAGACATGAATCCTTCACACAGTTAGAAATGCCTAGTCAGCAACCTGGACTCACATACTCAAATATCAGAAAGGATATTGAAAAAAGGAGACATGTGTCTACTCCGAGTCAAAGAAGCAGGTACTCAAATAAATCACGAAGTTCTATGAGTGGATTTGGAGAAACTCCCGAAAGAGTTCGTAAATTTCTCCAATCTCCAAGAAAGCCATCATTGTTTTCTTTCATCGATAACACTGCTGATCAATCCCAAAAGAAACCATCACTTTTTTCATTTTTAGAGAGCCCAGGGGAAGCTATAGGAAGTGAGGAGAAGCATGATAAAACTTTTAATAATACTCAGGGACCACCAGTTAGGAGAATTTTAGCATCTCCAAGTAAAGGGAAGTCACCACTGAAGAAAAAACGCAAATCCTTAATGGGATTTTTTTAACACAATGCAGGGGTGAAGTTATCATTATTATGTCACCACCACAAGTGTTGCTATATTGTTTTAGTCTCAAACTTTTTTGTGGATGGTGTTTTGAGTTCGGGGGTTGGTGTTGGGAGTTCGACGCTTGTAACAAATAGCAGGTGGTGACATTTTGCATGTTAATGCCTTGTTGTTTACTTGCATTCATTTCACTTTTTAGTGTTAAAATGATCCAGTGATTAGATTTATATGATCACAGCATAATTTATTTGAAGGATGATGTGAACATAGAGAATGTGAACACTGAACACTGGAACAACATGCGTCCAATTTTATTAAACCAAAAACTGATATTTGAAAGCATACTCCTAGAGATTATCACATGAGCAACCAAATCATGGCACATTATGTATGGATGAATGTTCTATAAAGGTGCCAAATTTCAAAACAGATCTCAATGTGGAACTTGAGAGTCAAAATCGCAAAACTTTTTAATGAAGCCAAGTAAATGTCACTCAGGAATTTTACCATGTATGTCTACATGGATGGTGGAAATGAAGTATGAGTAGAACTCTATACAACTACTTTACTACAGTACTGTATTATACATGTATGTGTATTTCCTGAGAAATATTTATGATTTTAACCAATGACAAATGTTATGTGAGTTGATGAGGGATAACAAATTCGGAACCAAGAAAGTGTTCACTCTTGATTTAATACATACCTGTAATACATGTTTTAGCATATGTGCTTTTGAGTTTACAAGTTCACTTCTTCATTTGGATAATGAAACTGTTAATTCGATTTCCAAATCCAATGGCTTTATTGTTTTCATGACTTGATTAATTTTTGTATTGAACAAAAGGTAAATTCAGTACCATAGTAATTATGTCACCATCAGCCTTTGTGACATAGAGTTTAAGGTCTCCAACTTTTTGGGATGGTGTACTGCTGTTGGTGTATGGTTTTTGGCATCTGTAACAGTGTTTTGTGTCTGTTACAGTGTCAGCATCCATAGACAATGGCAGGTGGTGACATTTTGCATGTTAATGCCTTGTTCATTATTTAAAACATTACAACTTTTAAAGATTATTTAATGCATGAAAATATATATTTTTAATAATGATTGAATTATCATTAATTTGAAATATTTTATCTTGTTAAAGGTCAACACTATGTTTGTACGTCATCATTGTCTTTAAAATACAAATGAATCATGTTCAATCGCTAATTATATAAAGGGCACCATGATATCTAATTGAGCAGGATTATATCTGCTATAATTTTGTAATTAAAATTGAAAAATAAATAATAATTTATACTTTATATATGATTGTTTGTTTATCTTCAATAATTGGCTGAAGATAAAAATTTACACACTAAATGAAAATATGGCAAGAAACAGACCAATAGATTTAATATTAGATATGTATACAAATGTAAATAAATCCATTGCATGATTCATGAACCCTTATTTTACTTTTAATGGAACACACCTTTAAAATACCATAACTTTGTCAACCTTCTTGTTGGTAGAAACCATGTCATTAAATTTCCAACCTCTAGATAGCTAAACAATGCGTCAAACGTTGAAAAAGCATTTGATTCAGATGAGGAAAACATTAAAGACTAGACATTCCAATACTGCAATACATGTATTTGAAAATTTGTAAAATTGTTAGGCTTATCGAGTAAACTATTAAAAATGTCTCAATTTTTTAAGATTAAGCGATGTTTCAGACTTAAAGGGATATTCCTTGCCAAACCATCTCTCTCCTCATATAGTAGCTATAACCATATGTATACTTGCCATGTTTAGCAAAGCAGTGAAAATGTTTAGATATGGTCAAACTTAACAACTTACATGTAGAAATCAGAAGAAGTGAGTAGCTCCCATAATTACTGTAATACTATCATATTCTTTCGTATTCGGGGATTCCCCTTAGCCAAACTATATGGTCATACATGCAAACCTTATATGGATCTATCACATGATATTCAAAATGGCGGATAACTTCCTATATTGTCATACAAACATTATATGGATCTTTCACATGATATTCAAAATGGCGGACAACGGTCAGTTGGATTCCTATATGGTCATGAAGCCTTATATGGATCTAGCACGTGAGTACCACGTGATCGAATACGAAGACTGAACTTTGGGAGATCTGCCCCCCGCTTAGAAATGTAGTACTCAATTCCACTAGGCTGCCATCTTTTAAGATTCCACTCAGGAAGTGATGTCATCGACTCTCAACTTTGCATATAGCATTAGGGTCATTAGGGTAGTGGTGTCAATTAACCGCTTGAGCATTAACCGGTTAACCGGGGGTTTTTACCGGTTAAAGTCGGTTAACCGGCGGGAAATTTGAACTTATAATTTCAAATGAAATCTTCATCTTCGATCTTGAAAGTTGAAAAACTGAATTGGAAAAATGATATATCGGCGTTTATTTTTTACCTTCGTCAAGCTTTACGCTATTCTATGTAAGTAAGCGCGGGAAAGCAATGTGGCAGGGATTAAAGTTGCTGATAGGATGTTTGTAAGGAATTATCGGACCTATCACATGTATGAGTAGCTCACACAAATCCAGAAATCTCCGGTCACTTTCTTTATCAGGAGAGCTGTCAACACATCTGATAAGAAGTGTTCTTAGCAGCTCTAGTGAAACTTGATGCTATGTTGGTCTAATACAAGATGCAGCCTACTTGTAAATAAAATACGTTATCCATACGTTATATATGGTTCAACAAAAAACAGCAACTAAAAAACAACAACTAAATATGAGAAACTTATGTGGTATATGCCATATTTATGTGTCTGATCATATAATCTTCAAATTATCCATCAATTTCTTAAGAAATTGGCGAAATTAAGGAAACCAGAAAACACATTTAATGAAAGGGCGGTGTTTATAGGCTGTATGAAATGCCCCTGCATTAACGCTCACATATATGAGTTTTAAACAATAATTTAGTAGACTAAAGTGTTGATACGAAATCTCAGTAATAGTACCACTTAGGAGATAAGGTGATGTCCGATTTAACATTACGATTGCTGGATATGATGAAACTGACGCTTGAAAAACAAACAGATTAAAATGCAAAGTAAGCGCGGGAAAGCAATGTGGCAGGGATTAAAGTTGCTGATTGGATGTTTGTAAGGAGTTATGGGACTTATGACATGTATGAGTAGCTTACGTGAAACTGACACCATAAAACCAAACGGATTAGCATGCAAAATAAGCGCGGGAAATAACAGAATTATACACGGTCAACTAACCGCCCATAAAAACTCAGACCGGTCAAGGCATTATCGGCGGTTAACCGGTTAATACTTGACACCTCTACATTAGGGAAGGAGCTATTAAGAATTACAAAAACAGCTGAATATTCTTTTTCAATTTTGTATCTGATTTAATTCTTCTGAAATTCTCTTCTTTTATTCTAAGTTGACAAGCTCTGAAAATGTTTTTGCACAGAAATTAAGAATCACTTGTCTAGAATCTGCTTGCTACAACCATTCCATTTTAAAGGCTTGGTAGCGATATGGTGAACTAAATTGAACACATGTTTTTTCTTGGTACCATATGTTCGGAATGAAATGAAACATTTATCCGAACAAAGTGACATATAATTTGTTTAAGTCTCTCAACAATGTAATTGTACAAAGGAAAGCTTGCTTTATTTAAAATAAGTATCCTGTTAACCAAGCCTTTCAGTAGGTGATGTAGGTTTGAACCTAAAGCGAACCTAAAAGTGTTTCCCATAATTTGTCAGCTACCTAAATGAACCTACAAAAAGTAGCCACAGGTTCGAACCTAACACAACCTATAACACTTTTAAAAATTACGAATTTCTAGGCTCACTATACAAGTAGGTTCGAACCTAATGTGAACCTAAAAAACTTTGAAATGTTTAGACTTACCTCAAGCGAACCTAAAAATCTTGAAAATATCTAGAGCTACCTAAAGCGAACCTAAAAAACTTAATCATTTTCACTGAACATATATTAGAAGCATACTTGCAGATGAAATCTAAGAATTCAAGGTAAAACAAATGATATGAAGAAATGATAAAAAAAAACTGGTTATAAGATAATTCACTCTACTATACCTTGTATTCGGTGTTCATGAGCAACCCATTTGGCTTATTAGTAATAATTATGTTATTTGTTTTTATTTGTCTATTCCTTATTAATGATTTAATTATCAGTTAAAAGTTAGATGTTAATAAGGTACTTTCAAAAATATACTAAACATCGCAATAATTAGACAAACAGAGTATCTTATGCATTTCTAGGGGCTAGGTATAGTAGAGTGTAATTGGCTTAAAATCTCCAGAATGCAACCAAATTACTTCCACACTTTTAACCAAGACACATTCATATCTACAAATAGATAGCATGTAGCATGTGTAGCATGTAGTACAAATAGGGGTCAAAATGTTTCAAAATTTTCAATTCGGTTTGGTTTTGAATCCCTCGGTTCATTTAACTGTTAATGTACAGTTTGTGTCAGCTGAATCTGATACCTAGTGAGAAAAACAAGATTATTAGTGCCAATGGCACTAATATCTTTCTCATCCATCGGCATTTTTCTCAATGTCCGCAGTAGACATTTTTTTTGAATAACGTTAATAAATGGTTGCATTGAGCGTTCTGTTAGAAAATCCAAACCAAACAATTTTTCCAAACCAAAGGAACTGTTGTATGGCACTCAGGGGTCCACAGTTTCAGTTAAATGTCTGTATTCAGAACCCTAAGTGAAAATGCTTTGCCTAAATATAGAAGATAAGCATGGTCATTAAAAAAAATTAAGGTTAATTTTTCGAAATATTTTTTTGCAAAATTATTTGATAATGTTGTTTACCTCAGAAATATGGATGTTTACCTTGTAATACAGTTGATACCATTTATAAGGCTTCTAAACATATATAGTATGGAAATACAAGCCACCATATTTTTATCATGTAGAAAATACATTTATCGTGAACACATTCCCCATGAAAGTATTGAATTTCATCATCTTCTAAGCTGCAGGATGAAACTTCTTCACCCAAAGCCTTACCCAAGGCGAACCTACAGTACACGATAGGTTCAGTAAGGTAGATTTACCCAATTTAACCTAGAACCATTTAACATGTTTGAACATCACCTAAAAGTGAACCTAAATGTAATATTTACCTAAAGCGAACCTAGTTCTAGGTTTGGTTAGGTTCGAACCTAGAGTGAACCTAACATGCCATTTTGTTCCAACAAGGTTTGGATAGATATTTTATTTTATTCTCAAGAATTGGTAGAAAAGAACAAAAAACAAATGCACTAAAAACAAAAATTGTTCTCAAAACAATAGTATAAAGTATATATAAGTTATTATGGCACTGGACGAAAGGCTCGGGGACTGAATTTTCACATTATGTTGTCAATCAGTGACCATGACACAAAAGATAATGTTTTTTACAAAATGTTTTCAATAGAGAAAAATGATGTTGAATTCAGTTCACCATATCGCTACCAATCCTTTGTAGAGTGTTATAACATTTTCTAGATTCATTACAATATTAAACAGCTCATTCATTGACTATATTGATTTTCCTTCGTTGGAAATGTCTTATTTCTAAATTTTGTAAACTTGTAGAAATGTAGTTTTTGTACCTGATTTCAGTGCATCAAATCGGAAACATTATCATTGAAAACTGATTTAAAACTGTATTCTGATTAAGGTGCTATGGAAGTTAACAGGAAATGACAAAACAAAAAATGTCAAAACCATGCTGGATTTTGAAATTTTTTTGAACCAAGATAACAGAGTTCTGTTTGGACCTCAAGTCAGTTTAACTAGTTCCACATATCATTTACATGACTGGGAACACAATGGAAATGGTCAGAATGACCATAAACATGATGAAATAACCTTTTCAGCCCTCTGAAAATGTGACTGAAAAATAGCCAAGAGTAGGTGCTCAGGAAAGGTCACTGAACAGAATCTTTTGACTTTTTCAGAAATTGTGCCAAATATATTGCTCTAAATGATACAATTTAAAAAAATTTCATATCATTCTTAGAAAAAGAAAAAAATGAAAAAAATGAATTTAAAATCGATCTATTTTCCTTTTAACTACAGCCATTATTGTTTCAGACGATTTTTTTAAATTTCAAAGATTGTATCATTTAGAGCAATATATTAGACACATTTTCTGAAAAAATCAAAAATTCTGTTCATTGACCTTTCCTCAGCACCTACTTTTAGCTATTTTTCGGTCACATTTTCAGAGGGCTGAAAATGTTATTTCATCACGTTTATGGTCATTCTGACCATTTTCATTGTGTTCCTGGTCATGTAAATGATATGTGGAACAAGTTAAACTGACTGGAGGTCCAAACAGAACTCTGTTATCTTGGTTCAAAAAATTTTCAAAATCCAGCATGGTTCTGACATTTTTTGTTTTGTCATTTCTTGTTAACTTCCATAGCACCTTAACCAATTTTCAAAATGGCTTTATAGGTCAAAAATCAATTTTTCCACAAAAGTGGTATTAATTTGGTTCAATCAGTTGCCAATTTAGTCAATTTTTATTTCAATTATAACAAATATAAACCCCAGTCGCCCAACGTTTTAATCAGAACCCCGTTCTTCATTGTGGGTAACGTGAACTGTCGTTATGATAATATAATCTCCATCAGCATATGCGTGCGCAATTTAGTGATTATTCATTTCCGGTTATAACATTTTCAAAACAAAAGAATCCCTGATTTCAACAGGTAATTATCAACATTTATATGCACCTGATTTTGTCGAATAACACGATTTATTATATAAATATGTACCATGTGTGTTTATATTTCCTTTTTAGTGACAAACATTGAGCACTGTTGCGTTGAATCAACATTGAGTTCTCAGACTTTTTTTGCGTTCATTTGTTGATTTTTATGATTTCAGATTTCACCTTATCCAGGTCAAGTCAGTACAAATGCATATGTCTGTACTCTGCAGTATCATTGTTTTTATAAACAACATAATACCTAGATGTTATTTGTTAGTTTCACCAATGACTACTTATTTCTCATGTAGTAAACAAACACTTGTACCACACCCTATTTATGGCATACACAGTGTTGATCTACCCCCAATTGAAAAATAAAACTAATTACCAACTTATTACCAACTAATTTACAACTAATTATCAACAATTCTGCTGGCAATTGGAATTAAAGTTAAGCGTTAATTAAATCAATTAAATCAATGATAATTATGGCCTAATTATCAGTAGCAAGTTCAATGTAAATTAACTTACAATAATGCTGATTTGTGATTTTTAGTTGATAATTAAGATATGAAATGTTTGAGGGTGATAGTAAGTGGTAAATTAAAACATTTTTGTTCTGAAGTAGATTATTGGTTGATAGTTAACATATAGGATGATTATAATGATAATTAGTCGTAAATTAGGCCCATGATTTAGAAATACAAACCCCCTAAATTTAATTTCAAGATGGTGGAAAAAGAAAACATGTGAGAGATATTTCTCTCATAAAATTGAGAATTACAACGTGAATGGTGCGTATACTACCATGAAATTTGGTCAACATTATTATAAGGGTATGTAGAACATGAATACAATGTATGTTAAATCTTATTCACACTTCTGTCTGAAATGTTTATGAATTTAAAAATCTTTTTGAATCAGATCATATAATATTAATCCTAGAATGCAATTTAGGTACTAACATGGGTTACCTATATTTCACAAGTAATCCAAATGTGCTCTTCTAAATAATGATTGTTAGATCAAAGACATTTCAAAACATATTTTTGATTATATCTGTTACGTCCTTATTATGTAACATTATAGTCTAATGTTTGTGTTCTGATTTTAGTTGTTGATGGCAATAATGATGTTTTCACATGCTTTTCATGAATCTTAAAAATTTGCAAAATAGAATAGCTTTAAAAAAGAGGGGGAGAAACCCCAGGGTTCAAAGATGACATACGCTTATAATGTAAATCTGTATTGAGATGACATCGTCGCTGATTGGTTTAGCGAGTCGATCGTTGATTGGTTTAAAACTAGGTCAATTTGAAAACTTTGAAAACCAAGATGGAGGGTACGTTTTCGACAAAAGGAGGTGTGCGAAGGAGGAAATCGTATGTCATCAATTGAATCATGGGGTTTTCCCTCCTCTTGCTGTGAAATTTCAATAGTTCAAGTTCAATGTTGTCTGTTCTGAAAGATCCTAATTAAGATGAATATTCCGTCTCAAAATAGTTCAAGATGAAGCAAAAATCTCCGAGTGAAGAGAAGCAAAAAAGAAGCGAGTCATTTTTGAGATGTCACAAATCTGACTTAAACCTAACTTTCAACTAATTATCAATAGTAAGTTAGGTGATAATTAGAGATTAACTTACATCAAACTTACAACTAACTTTCAACTAATTTACGTAAATAGCTCATTTGCATATTGATGATAGTTAATCGTTAATTAAGTTGCAAATTAAGCGTTAATTAAGTTGATAATTAGCTCATTTGCATGTGAATTTTTACACCTAACTTTCAACTAATTATCAATAGTAAGTTAGGTGATAATTGGAGATGATTTTCCATGTATAAATCACCCTTGGTATACGCAGCTAACGAAAATTGACCGGTACGGGTCAAAAGCTGGACCGGTACGGGTTAACGGTTTTATTTGAATTTAAAACAGCCATAACTTACTCAATATTGACTTCCTCGTGTCTATATATATTGAAATATATGATGCCTCCCGATGTTTTTAAGTACCCCAATTTTTTACAGATTTTTAAACGGACCAAAACTCTCTAAATGCGCATTTATGCTCTTTTCTCTCGAGAACGACTGTCTCATTTTCACGATAACTTTTATTTAGTACTTCTAACATAAAAGAGGGTTTTCCGAAAAGACCGACCCCACCGACCACCGACCGGTCGGTGTTTTCCACTGGTAGCCTCAAAACAGGGTTTGAAGAAAATGTGTAAAAGACCGACCATATCATGTAAAAGACCGAAAATATTTGTAGCCTTAGAATATTAATAATTTGATTTTGAATGTCAATCGTTGGACTAGGCAACGTTTTTTACCGATTTTGTACCTTGCAACGAATGGCAAGCAAACAAATTGGTCATGACCGTCTCCTCTCGATTAATTGCCCAGCCTTAGGTCCTAACCTATCATTAACCAACCTATCGTTTCTACGGGAATCTATCCTAATTTTTTACTGAAATTTAACAATTTCGAAACAAAAATGATTTGTTATCGTCATAGCCTACTGAATACTGAACACGATATAAAGTTACATGCGTTCTCTTATCGGGATTAAAAGTGACTTACCATTTCAGTACACCTTTAGAAAGCTTTTTTTTGTCATATCAAATGTAGTTTTTACCAGTTGACGTTTAACAACTGAGAAATCAAACATAACGTTACGACGTCAACATCGACGATGTTTGTGTGTTTTTGTTATTGCGTTTCATATGAATGAAGAATGAACTTAATGCAATGTTACGTGCGTTTTTTCCAAAGTGACTAACCAGGATGAAATTGGTCTTCTAACAACTGAAGCATCCCTTAAAAATATGACATTACACACCACGACGATGTAACGTTTTCATCGTGATTTGAAATGATAATTATACGTTTTTAAATCACGACCTAGTAAAGGTACTATAGTCATTGGATTCCCAGTTTTAGTTTTACTTCTAATTTTGCATATTTTCATCTTTATGTAAAAGACCGTCAGCCGACCACCGACCACATGTACCCAACTGTGGAGAGTGACTGGTCGGTGGTCGGTGTTTTACCAAAACCCCATAAAAGATCTATTTCTCCCCATCAAGGTATGATGTAAATGACATGCTATTTACATCTTGTGAGTTTCAATGACGCACGTTTGATTTTATAAAAAATGCCAAACTTTGTGACAAAGAATTTCATCCTGCTTGCATGTCATTTACATCATAGTACAAAAACATTATTAACATATTTTAGTACATGCTACTGATATCAGTTATGAAAGTTTAAAACAACTTGACGGCTTTAGTCTTGTATTTTTCTAGTCTAGTAAGTTATGTAGAGCTGATATGTCGAGGAGCAATAGTGACTCAGATGATGGGGGTACAAAACTAAAGGGATGGGCGCTTGTAAACAATAAGGGGGACATTGAGGTAAGACTAACTAAAAGAGGCCAAAATCTTCTTGTAAATCCATTCAAAATAATATTTTAAATGTCCTTATTTTTTAGTCATTACATGTATATTATGGTTATTGACATACAGATATATTTTTTGTTCATTTGATCAGCATTGAGCTGAGGTAACTGACATCAACTCGGGGTGCTGTAACCAATGTTAAAGTTACACAAATTGTTCTCATAGATACAATGTAAATCTCAGTAAGTCTGGATGTCATGAACTGTTACCAGAAGCTGGTTATTACAGTTGATGGACATGTTTTCCAGATATGAACAGAACTCTCATATGTATATAAAAAAAACATAAAATAGATAGGCCTATAACCAGCTTTGACAAGGGGGCTCAATTTCCAAAAAACTCCAGGGAAGTTTACATTTGACAACTTTGGCATAAAATCATGGGCCTTAGGATCTCATTCAAGTGCACCAACCTTCATTTCTAGAATGGCAGTGAGAGTGACAGTGCTACCAGTAGCCAGTCATCCTCAGGTTACATCAAGGTCTCCCCAGATGAGGTCAGCTTTCACAAAAGTCAGCCAGTAGAACCAGCAGAACCAACCTCTGATGAGGAACCACCTAGAGATATCAACCAGAGCCATGAGAGCTCTCTCGATCACCTTGCAGGACAGCAACAGGACCTCATAGGTCCTCTTGAACAACCAGCTATGCTAAAATTAGATGTGACTCTGGAACCAGTCGTGAACTTGAAGGATGATCCAGAGTCTCCAGGACCTTTACAAGGACCGAAGGAAGCACCGGGTACCAGCTCCTATGACAGTTTCGAGGCAGTGGAAGGCAACTCCCCACCTGTGTCAGGCACATACAGTACAAGTGTACTGGAAGCATCTGAACCATCAAGTGTAGACTCAGATGTTATTTGCTCAAGTCCTCACACACAAGAAGGTAATAAGAAAACATCCAGATTGATTGTTATCTTACAGGTGTCTTATGTTTGTTCAGAGATTTACTCTTCATACTGGTCTAGATTGACTAATGATCAAAAATCACTGGATCTAAACTTCAAATACTCTTTAATAGTTGATCTTAGTATTTACATATACGTGTATTTTATTTTAGAGAAAATTGAAGTTGAACAGAGCACAGAGGAAAACAAACCAATGGAAACAGATGGAAGTGTTACCGTACCAACAGGAAAAGCTAGTCTGAATGAAAATTCAGGAACAAAACTAGCAGAGACTCTTAAATCCATTATGTACGAGGGGGGATTCATAAGTAGTGGGACAAATGCTATAACTTCACTTATATCAACGAGTTTTTATTCAAACTTGGGACACAGAACCACAAACATGTGATAATCATTGTGTGAAAATTTCCAAAAGTTACACCCAACTTCAGTAAAGTGAGAGTTCCAATCATGACGTCACAACAGGGTCCACGGAGCACATTGTTTGTCACTAATTGCTAGTTAAATGTACAAGTCCCAACTGATATTCAGGACGTGATCTAATCCGTGACTTCAAGCGAGTTCCTTTTGTGGAACACATCAATTCTGTGCAAGACTTTTGATTCCTTATCCTTCTGGTGCAATCTCACTCTTTCTCAAAGTATTGGCCATGACAATCAATGCATTTTTGGCATCTCCTCAACCATTCTATGTATGCACCCTCAAAACCGTATTTTCCAAGATTGGTCATCTCGGCTCTCACAGCATATTCAGAATACATATACAGAATACCACCTATATACTGTAGATTTTTTTACTTCTTCTTTCCCATAGATTTCCAACAAACCTCTATAGGTCTCTAATACTTAAAACTTCTTCAAAGCATTACATTTAATCACAGTACGGATGTTTATACGTGATTCTTGCTTTTTCATTGCTATTTTAATCAAATTTTGCTCCATCCAAGAAGGACTGAAAATGGCAGTGTCCTGGTGTCACTGCTTTGAGTGACATCACAATAGCATGATGATGTAATATATGTTACAGTTGTCATGACTACAAGGCTTGAGACAATATGAAACCAAATATTTGAAAATAACTGTCATTTTGAGATATTTATGAGCATATTTATGTTGATCAAGGCCTTCATTTTTTAACTGCTCCGTTAACCCCTACTTTTGGTTACCATAGCAACCGTTGTTGCTAGGGAACAAAATGAATTAAATTGAAATTTCGCAAAACAATGCCTTATATCCTAGTCCGTTCGTGTGCCAAATTTGGTTGAGGTATGTACACAGGGACTTGCTGCCTCAGAAAAGTCCCACTACTTATGAATCCCCCCTCGTATGTACTATTACTAGATTACACATACCTTTAAGTTTTATATTTTCGAGTTATTAGTCTGTTATTGACGCTTGATTAAATAAATGATTTATCAGAGAATACAATTTCTATATGTTTATTATACTTTATGTACATTACTTTTAACTAAATGATACATCCAGACATTATAATAGTGTCCAAACATCTGTTTTTAGCATGGAGCGAGAGAAAGATAATTTGGTGAATACAGATTCAGGTATTTATATATTTGTATCTCAACAAAAATATGTTGCGCAGCACAAGCAGGCATATGTTAAAAGATTCACTAATAATGATTCCTATATTGAGTGCAACATTTGATATCTCATATCCTGTTATAATATTGGAGGTCATCTGATGTTTTTCTGAATTTGTGCAACATTTATTGACATTTATTATCACCAAAAATATTTTAGGTTATTTCTTGATAACAGATTTGTCAAAGTTAATTTACTCCAACAACTAAGTTTAATTAAACATTCATATTAATCATATTATTTCAAATTTTATTTGTGATTCATTATTATAGCACCATAAAATCATGTTAACCCCAACTAATCAACCAACCAATCAACCAGACAACCAGCCAATCAACCAGACAACCTACCAGACAACCAAACAACCAGATAACTAATCAACTAACAAGGCAACTCACCAACCAGACAATCAACCAAACAGACAACTAACTAATCAGACAACCAACCTACTAAAATGATTAAAGATGACCAAAAATGAAACAAATTCAAAATTTTGAAGATCAAAGGTCAAGGTCAAGATCTTTAGCCAATTCAATCTGGAGTCTTAGATTGAACTCCGTTCATTTTCATTATTCTAGTAATTGTTCTTATTTCATTTCAGAGGGCTCTGACTTTGTGCGTCTTGATGAGTTTGAGTTTCCAGACATCAATGACACAAATCCTTCACAAGAATCCAAGATGACTGCTAGCTCGAGTTCAAATTCAAGTGTTTTCTCAAACTTTAATTTTTTGCGAAGATCACGGAGTAGATCTAGTGGTAGTGGAAGTAGCAATTCTAGGGAAGAAGGTAAGGTACATTATAGAGAAGGTTAATTCTGTAAAATTTGTGCATTTGAACACCTCTCCAGGGATTTTCCAGATCCTAAAGTTTTCACTAAAGATAAATTGGTATGTCATCATAAAAGACTAACATAACATAAAATTCCAAATATATTACTTTTAGATAATGAGTCTGAACCTGCAGAAGATGAGGTAGATGATCGTGTTGAGAGCGACATCTCTGGAGTTGATATCCCTGATGACGATCCTGAGTTCATTGATGAAGACCTTTCTCACAAAAGTTATGACATCGCCGATTTGTGGGATGGAGTAGCCAATGAGAATGCAAGGAGACGAAACCTGCATCATTCACCAAATAGCAGTCTTAACTATCGCCTCAATTGCCTCGCCATTTGTGCTGTTTTCTTCGCTGTTGGCATCGGATTTGGACACTTTATTGGTAAGAATAAAAACTGTTTCCTGTTACATGTTCTCATTTTGTTTGCCATTGTCCTCATGTTACAGCATAAACATGCTTGTTACAATAGTAACAAGTTCTAAAATGAAATGTATTGCAAAACAGCCATCGGATTCCCAAATATTGGTTTATTTGAAACTTTAATACTTCTATTAATCTGAAAATATCGTATAAGTAATTTTCATAGGTCTGCATATTTCATTTCAATATAACTACATGCTAACTCATACATTCAGTTTTTACTTAATCACAAACATTTTCAATGCCATTATATTTTTGAGTGAATTCATTTATTTTGATTTTTTCTGTGTTCTTTTGTTTCAATCTCCATACATGTATTATTTTATTTCAGTAATATAATGTATTTCAGAGTAATTAATCAGACTTAAATTATTAAAGGTGCAACAATAAGTGCAGGGGGCCATTCAACGATCATCGACTAGTGTCAAAATATATTTAAGTTTGGATATTTCATCAAACTAACATATATTTTTATTATCTACAAAGAAACCCTCTGGATGAACATTATTTCAGCTGATATTCCTCTTGAAACGTGATGAATCTTAAAAATCTATAAATGGAAGTCCCTTTAGAGAAGCTTTGACCTGAATTTACAATTTTAATGCTGAAATTGAAAGTTTATCCATACATTTTAAGAAAATAGGTATGTCAAAGAAGATGTTAAGCCAAATATTGACCTGATAGTGCAGAAAAAATAAAAAATTTCGAATTTTTTCTCTACAGTCCTTGTTGTCCCTTTAATGCACCGGTTATTAAGTCCAAATGTCCATTTATCTTTCCAATGTGTAAAGTGTGTGTTTTGTGACATTTTAGGGAATATTTTCATAGGTAAGTGCGGTCATACAGCTATACTTGATCAACTAAGGGTGTGTGTGTGTATTACTGTTAACCACTGGAATGTCACAGAATATTCAATTTATTGGTGTGAGACAATGATTCATATAACTCCCTGTATCACCCTTAGTATACACAGCTGCCGATAATGAACTGGGCTAGTGCAATAGCATTAGAGGGTGCAACTTTTTTTATTAAGATAACCTATATCTTGCTAAATATTTATTCATGCCAAGTTTGAAATATTTGATGTCCAAGAGTGTTCAGAAGCTTTAGAAATTTTGTGCAGATTTTTAGATGAAGTAAATCTCTTGAAATGTGCACTAAGACTTTTTTCCCAAGAGGGTCTTGTTCACTTTCTCTATAACTTCTCTATAATCACTTCTAATTTCCTATGTTTAGGTGAGATCCTATTGACATACAATTCGCATCTCGTGGGCATCAATACCATATAAAAAATCTGTAGAAAATGGAGAGTTATATTCCCTGGTCACACTGCTGCACTGGCCCCGTCCATTATTGATACATTTGCATACCAGGGGTGTGTATGTCTATCCTGACTTAATTGTGATCAGAATATGATCCTGTATATATAGCGACTGAGTAGGGGCTGGGAAAAGTATCAATGTGTTAGTTTTTCATCAAAATTAATCAAGGGAATTCAGAAAAAAGTTTAAATTTAGAATTGAATTGGCAGAAATGTTGCTGAGCATTTGTTAAATTATTTTCTCAAGTAAATCATATTTTGACCTTTCCCCCATTTAGCATGCAGTTTTATCTTAATCTCATGATTGGACCGCATAGTTATTTATTTCAGCAAAGAGGAGGCCTACATAGTCTGCCAAGAAAACTACAGGACTTGTGTTCTATTGCTTGTTCATGCTATGTTATATTTACATGTAGATGTATTGGATTATTTACGGAGTTTTGCATCTTACAGTTTAGACCATTTAATGTACAAATAGGTTAAATGGTGTTGTATCATTTGTGGGCGTCACGAGTCAATGGTCTAATCCTTTAAGTAAAAGATTACAGTGTTGAACCACCATTTTATTACTATTATAAGCCCCTGGGGTATAAGATGGAAATATCCATTATGAGTGCCTATTGATCCTTTTCCATATAAATGGAAAAAATAGATGACATCATGGGTATTGGTAGGGCTAAATAACATGGCAACTTGATAGCAAGAGTTACTTAATTTTTTGATTCAAAAAGTAATTTCATTTGGATATACTTAAAACACCATTGGAATATAACTATATGATATTATTGACATGTGGATTGTGATTTCACATTAAAATTGTGATCCTTATAAAAGTAAATGAACTTTGAAAGGTTTTTCAACATTGTGTCAATGGGGATTTAGCCCAGCCATTTTCAGAAAACTTGAAAATCTCTAGAATTTGAATAAAGATAAAAAGTAGTGCATTAAAACCAAAGTTGTTTTGATAGAAAATTAAACAGAGAATTCAAATGTGCCATCAAATAGAAGAAAATGTTAATCTTTAGTGGTTAGAAATGCAGATCTCTTAAAATCTCACTAAAAACGATACTAAAATTAACGAGATTTCAAAGCTATATGGAAAAGCCTCTATTCAACCATGATATTTATTTCAATTAAAATGAGTCTAAACCTGTGACATTTTACAAAGTCATATCATTATGGAATATATGTTAAAGCATAACAGCTTCTGTATCTCCAACCATTTGTTTCGAATTCAGAATCGTATGCCTGTTCCATTGGGTTGCTTATAGGATGTTTTCCAATTTTCACTAATAATATTTGCCAGCCCATAAATTGTTTACCGAAAATAGGCCCAATAAGTCCTTTTGCATGGGTTTTGTGTGGCTACATGTAGGTTGATGTATCCTTGTAAAATTAATAAACATAAGTCTCTAATTCCAATATTTATCTGTATTTTTGTCCATGTGGGTTTTTAGGGACTAGTCATTTCTGTTACATATTTAATTTTGACTTAATTAGCTATATTATCTCTCAAAAATATAAACTGTGCATCTGACCGACATAATAATGATTACTGTGGTTGCTTACCTTCATGTATCACTTACAATATCTCTTACCAATTTCTTGATCTCACCTTAGTTAGGGGATAATTCATCGGTGATTTTGGGGGAGGGATTGGTGGGCAAATACTTACAGGATTCAATCAGACCTTCTAGCTTGTAAGAAAATTGGTGGGAAATGAGTTCAATCTGCACATGTGCAGTGCATTGACCTACATTTTTCTTCCTGGAAACCAAAGTTTGTTTTCATCTAATCATAACACAGGTGGAAGGGTTACCTTTTTAAGAAATGACCAACTCCCATAAAACACACATAAAACCAATTAATTTCATATTAAATGTTATAAATATATACCATGTATACTACACTTTGGTTTTGGGCAACTCTTACTCATTAAACACATGTACAAGCATTTTATTTTTTATGAAAATTTTCTGCTGATTTTTTTCTCAATGTACAATTTTACATGTATGTGTCATACAATTTTATCGATTGTGTTGTGTCTTATTTCTTTATTCTATATTTTGTCTGTTGATTTAGCTATTGTGTGATTCTAGGTTCATCGTATGACTTCTATGAGAATCAGGCATTTCACAAGGGCCAGGTTCGTAAGATGCAGTCCCTGCAAGATGATTATATGATCTGCATGAACCAAAGAGACTCAACCATTGAGAAACTGATTACGCTTAGTAAGGTGATGTAAATGTATTTTTGTTTGCTGCTGGAATGATGATAATCGAAAAAAAGATTCTGTCATTTCCAAGTTGGATTATTTTTTATGAATGTTACATTATATGCAATATATTAATGTAAACTCGTAACTTCATTTAAGTAGGTCATCAAATATCGAAAGTAATTTAATTGTTTATTTACTTTTATTTTAATTGAACTTTTTATTACTTTACTTTGTAAATGTACTTTACCCAGAAAACATAGATTGAATTTGATTAATTTGGGTTAAAGTCATATGTGGTTTCAGTGAATAAGTTTCAACTGTAACGTTCCCTGCCATTGCGTTTTCATGATATGTACATGTTTTATAAAGAGGTCCATAATACATGTGTATAACTGTAAGTCAATGAAAATGATTCAATTTCCAGGTGTACAATACAACAGAAGAAGCACACAAGCAAACCATATCGAACCTTGAGACTGAATTAGGGGAGTTACAGACTAAACTTAAAGGCACCCAGAACCAACTGCCTGTAGTATCTAGTAAAGAAGATGAATTTAGGCGTAGGATTTTCACCCTCAAGAGCAAGCTGCATGATGTTAACATTGAAACAGCATCCAGAGAGAGTGAATGCAAACGTAAAGTTCTACAGCTAGAGGAAAAGCTACAAAATGTATGTCTTATGTACAGTGTGTTAAGGAAGTAATGTTACAAACTGACTTTTTAAGTTTTGTCAAAAAGGGCTAAATCCATTGATTCACTTTTCCAGTATTCAGGTTCACAATTTTAAGGTTAAAACTTAAGAAACAGTCTGCATGTCACAACTATTATCTGGTTGCATGCTAATGGCCTTCTACATTAGTCCAATTGAAAATGTTTGAAAAATCAATGAATAAAGTAACTTTTGTCAGTTTTCTTCTAAAAATACATTCTAGCCCAGCCAGAATTATTACTGCCATCTATTTATCAACCTAGTATGTAGCAATTTCACGACTGAAACGATTAAATATCTACTATTTAGGTGTATGCTACGTCAGAGGAAGGCCACAAGCAGACAGTATTGAACCTAGAGGCAGAACTAGTGGAACTACAAACTAAACTCCAAGACAACCAAAACCAAGTGTCTGTAGAATCTAGTAAAGAAGATGAATTAAGGCGTAGGATTTTCTCCCTCAAGAGCAAACTGCATGATGTTAACATTGAGACTGCATCAAAGGAGAATGAATACAAGCAAACAATTCTTCTGCTTGAGGAGAAGCTTAATAATGTACAAGCTAATCATATAGACTTAGAACAAGCAAAACAGGTGGGTGCATTTGAAACATTTGACCTCATATAATGAGAAATTATTTTAATACCAAGTCTGTATTTGCTTAGTGTCAAATTGAATTGGTTGCTAAGTGTAATATATTGGCTGGTAATGTTGTTAAGAAGTAAAATATACTGACTGTGTATGGTTAACTTATGGTTATCTTCACAGGAATTCATGACTCTGAATATCTTGAGAGCCCATTTCTGAACTGATTAAACATCCAGATTTTTCAAATTGTTGGATGGGAGAACCTATATGAACACAATATCTATACGATTTATGTTAATGAATAATCCATAGGTGGGTACTAGGCATGTTGTCAATTATGAAAGCAAAAAATAATTTGTGAGGTAAACTAAAATTAAATTGTGCTTATAACTTCATAGGGAATCATGGCTTTGAAAAGCAATTTCGAAAATCTTGATGAGTGCCCTAAGATGAGTAAAGTAAGAGCATGACTTGGTCCTTTTGATGGCTTAGTCTGTGTGTATGCCTAACTTTTTATGACCACTTGAACAATAAAATCCCTGTTACTTATTAATCAATGGGTGCAAATATGTTTCTGTTAAATGATTTATTAATTTTACACCTAAAGATTATTTATGTGAAAGCGACCTTGAAATAGTTGCACTGACTGTATAGTCCATGTTTAAACTGCATGCTTTTTGTTTTGGATTTTTATGAACTGAACACAGCAGTTCAAACTAATATATTTTTATAACTTGTGAGGTTCTTACTTCTACGGTATCCCACCCTTTGTATTTCTGATATGCCTGTTATCAACTGTAAAATATTGTCAGAATCTTTGGTGAGTAAAGGGATGGACCATATGAGGGAGATTTGGCTTCTCACCCCCATGGCACCTGTTTGGATTAACCCTTTTATCTCAAATTGTTCAACTCAAAAATTTTTACCAACAGATACTAATAAATTACAATTAGTAAACTGTAGACATAATCTATCTTGTTTTTCCATAAAAATATTTTAGGTGACATCTATGAATAGAACTTAAAACATATTGCAATTATACTCCAATCTCCAAAAGCCATGTCTAATTTTTTCAATGTGTGTTCCAGCTTGCTACAGAAAACCTTGAGAAGCAACTATTGAACCGTGCTGAGGAAATCCACCTTCTCCAGGCCAGAATACTAGAACAGCAACAACAGATAGATGATGCAATGGTGGATCAGGCAAGACTGGCCGAGCATGGAGATGATATGGATACAACAAAACAGGAGAATGAGTTGCATGCTTCTGTAGAGAAGGAGAGTGAACTTAGGGAGGTGAAGACACAGCTGAATAACATAATGACTGAGAATGATGACCTCAGGTAATATTTCTAGTATAACATCTGTACAAAAACATGTACCAATTTCTCTGTAATTAATGCCCACTCCCTACATGTAATAAGCACCCACCCTGCTTCACAAAGTTCAAGAAATATTGAGAAATGACTAAGTTTGACCAACGAATATATCAGAAACAATCGAAATTGAAGTGGGTGACAATAAAAAAGTATCTTCCCAATAAATATCTATCTTTGGGTGCTTCCCACATCGTACAAAGCTAATATTACCTCAAAATAGTCCATAATGAATGAAGGAAATATTCAAGAATTTTGATCGGCATTGAATCAAGAAAGCTTCTGCGAAGGTACATACATGAAATTCCTGGGGATTTATTCTCAATTTTCTAAGCACTAATTACAGAGAATACGGTAGTACAAAAAACATTGATTGTTGCTCTAAGAATTAAAAAACCAATTCGGATAGAGTAAAAATGACAACAAAATCTTCCATCCCAAAATCCTAGTCCAAATGCTGTGAATCTTACATGTATCTATGAGGGTTCGAAACTCACATCTGGCATGCACTTGTCGCTCTTGGTAATGAACTTGAAAAAAGTGATTGCTTATGGATTGAATGCAATATGTTTGATTGTAGCAATCTGGTCTTTAATCTTAGTCTTTGATCCTGTACCAAGCTGTTTGTAATTTTAAAGATACATACTTGATCTATATGCTATTTATCTTCAGGAAAATGGTGGTAAAGATGCGCTACTTGAAACATCCTGGAAACTCAGAATCTGGCAGCCATGTTGATGACATCACAAAGCAGCAAATGAATGAGCTTCAGCTGGAGAACAGTGACCTGAAGGTAGCAGTGGGCAAAATGCGATATACACAGCCCTCTCAGAATGATAACCAAGGTAATGACATCAGTCTATCAGGTTTTGATGGCTATTCTATATGTAAAGTGATTTCATTTTAGTAAACTTAACGAGACGTATAGCCCTTTTATTTTTTCGTGAAGCCACTCAGTAAAATTACGATTCTCTGCAGCCTGATGATTCCCATATCAGGCCCGTAGCCAGGGGGGTTCGGGGGGTTCGGGCGAACCCCCCCTGGCCAAAATTTCTTTCAAAATCATGCAGTTTTTCACCATTCTGACTAATTTTTGAGTGATTTTTGGCCATATTTGCCAAAGTGAACCCCCCCTAGAATTTTTTAGAAAAACGAACCCCCCCTTGGAAAATTCTGGCTACGGGCCTGCATAACATGTTGGATGTTCTAAGGTATTCATGGGCCTCTAAGATTTTCACTTCTTTATAACTGACCCTTGGATAGTTGGTATTGAAAATGCCTGTTATATGATGTTTTACCAATAGTCATGAAACTCAATTGTGAATAAAATGACACGTACATCAATTTAATTTAATTGGTATTGTTGCTTTGACATCATATGTTTCATGTACATGATACTTTATGAATTGTTTATATTCGATGCATTTCCAGACAAGAGCAGTAGTAACTTAGAGTTAGAGGAACTAAAGCAGTCACTCAAGGTACAAGAAAACAGAGCCAATATGTTTGAGAGACTCTACACCAAAGAACGTGAGAACAGCCAACAGAGTGAACCTACTCCTCAAGACTTTTTTACTTGCATGAGATTAATCCTCCCAAATATTAACACAATGAACAAGGGTTTTGATGAAAAATTTAAAGATTTTGTTAACAAATTTTGGGATCATTGGGGATTCTTTAAAAATGAAACGGAGTACACATTTGAAGAGAAATGGAAATTGTTTAAGAACTTGTCCGAGACTGATGAGTTTAAAGAGGTGATGGATAACGCTGCACATATGTATGAAGGTCTTAATGAAAGTGCTAGACAGTCGTGGGAATATGTCCAGAATTACACAAGATCTGAGAAGTTTCAAGAACATGTCAATAGCACAAAGTCAGCTTTCGAAAAGATCCAGGAAAATCTCCAAACTCATTGGGAGGCAGTTAAAAACTACACCAATTCTGAAGAATTTCAGGAGCGTGTCAATAGCACAAAATCAACTTTCCAAACCATCCAAGAAAATTTGAAATCAAAGTGGGATTCAGTGAAGAACTACACTAAGTCAGACAAGGTGCAGAATATTCTAAATAAAACTACAGGTACAGTGAAGAATCTAACTGACTCTCTGCATGATACTTGGAAACAAATGAAATCATCCCCCACCATCAGCTCTCTCTCAGACTCCATCTCTGAAAAGATAACTAAGCTACGTGCCAAGGTGAACTCTAAATGGGAACGTGTCAAGAAAAAGATCCAGCGAGGTGGAAAACAATGGTACTCAGAACCTGCTAAAGATAATGATGACCAGGAAATTACACCCCCAAAAGCACCAATGGATAAAGACTACTGGTACCGACTACGTAAACTTCAGCGTTCTATAAGACGTATGAATGAGGAAAGTCTACGTAGGATGGACGATGATGATATGGATGATATACTGGATGAGTTTGAGGACTTTCATGATGACTATGAAGATGAAGTAGATAATGACCTTGAGGAATGGCTGCTCTGTCAGGCTCAATGGTGGAAGTACCAACTCTCTAAACAACATGCCCAATTCAAATGGCAGCCCCAGTGTCTTGCTGTTCTTCCTCAATGGCAGAGAAACACCATCTGTCAACGTAGATGTTATAATAGAAGTGACAAATGCTCCTGCAAGGGAAAGAAAGCGAAGAGGTTCCAGTACAAACACAAGGAGAAGTTTGGAGGATGCTGTGAAAAGGACCATAAGCAAAACAAGAAATGCTTTAAGGAGTGCAGGAAGGAAATGAAGAATATTCCCAAACCGAAGAAATCTGAAGAATTGAAGTTTGAATTTAATGACGAACATGGCTATGCAACAAATGAAAACTATACAGATGATGCAAGATGGTACTTCAATTTGATGGCCGATAGGGCACGTGAACGTGGTGACACAAACTCTCAATGGTACTTTGAACGAATGCAAGAACGGGCAAACCTACGAGAAGCCCCAGGAATGTGGTACCTTAAACAACTGCAGCAAGCTAAAGAAGCTATTGCAGATGATGATGAGGATGATGATGATGACGACGATGGAGATGCTAGTCCTGATTGGTTATTTGAACGCGCACTTGATCGTGAATATGAACTCCACAAAACAGACTGGATTTTTGAAAGAGCAAGAGACAGAGAAGACAAACACTCCGCCCCAACCGATTGGTACACAGAACAGGAGACTTACTCAGAAGATCAACCACTTTACCTTTAAATCCCCATGAAATCCCATGACTTATTTATTTCCATTTGACATATGCAGTTTTTTATCAACCATATTTTCCTCTATTTATAAGATAAATCTTCTAAAGGATTGCTTGTCGTGCCATTGTTATCCCAACGAACGAAGTTCGTTAGGGATATAGTGAAGCCCTCCGTCCGTCCGTCTGTCCGTCAGTCCGTCAGTCTGTCAGTCCGTCAGTCAGTCAGTCAGTCAGTCAGTCTCTGTCTGTCCGGAAGATAACTCAAATACTAGTTGACAGATTTTCTTCATATTTAGTGGAAAGATGTATATTGGTGAATAGTTTTACGCAAAAAAAAAATTTTTCAAGATGGCCGCCGCTTTAAAAATGACGGGACTTTTTCGCAAAAACCATAAATTTTTCATTCTAAACCAAAGTAATTAATATTATTGTTTGAAATTTGGGTAATGTATTCACAACATTTATCTATTTCACATATATTCCGTGTTTTTCATCCTGACCCCCAGGAAAACAGAAATTTTCGCTAATTTTTAGATCTTTCTGAAGTATAGCTTTATTATACTCAAATGAAAGGCAATTAAGAGTAGATTGCAAATATTGTATCTTTTTTCTGATTCGAGCCTCGTAAAATTCAAAATGGCCGTCTAATGTACGATTTCGCAATAATTTTTCGATCCCTTCAAAGTATGGCTATATTATACTCAAATTGAAGGAATTTTGGAGTAGATCACAATTATGGTATTATTTTTCAGATTTGTACCTCAGAAAATTCAAAATGGCTGCTTTGCAGGAATTCGCAATTCTAAAATCTAATTTTTTCATTTTCAACCAAAGTAATGAGTATAATTGATTGGAATTCGGTAATTGATATTTTGTTCGTTGGGATTTGCTACTCCGCGGAGTTGCCGTTATCTAGTTCAAATCAAAATTTACTTTAACTTTAAACGTTTGAAGTAGCTCACTGCATGTGTGTAGATCGTAAGATTGTCTTCATTTAAATCAAAATTGAAATCAATGCGCATAGGGCTGTAGGAAACTATTAGGTTTTTAGTTTGGTTTAATAAAGATCTGAATTCCCGTTTGTTATTTTTGGAAGGTACACAATTTATTCTGAACACTAAATGTACCTACACTCTTTGGTGCTGTACCGTCATGGCAACCATGTCCTTCTTATGATAGGAAACCCATGGAATAATTCGCTACTTTTCATAATGAGACACCAAAGAAATAGCAATCACAACCCTATTTTGGGGGATATTAAAACTGTTTGTTTTGAGAGTACTGGTACTGTGATAGAAAGTGATACCCATTATGTATTTGTTATAGGCAATATAAAGAACATGTACTATATGTGAGTTATAAATATGCAAGTTAACAGTTGTAACTTCTATCGGATGATCTCAGATCAGGAAAGTTGTGTATTAAATCAGATCATCTTGCATTGCAAAACAGGAACATGTTATCAGGACCTAAATGTTTTACAACAGCTTTAAGTCGTATAGCATGTTCAAATCATTCGTATTGTTGTTTTGTCACTGAAAATTCGTTCTCTAGTCTTAGTAGTGGTTTAAGTAATGCTTCAACCATGTCAACATTTACATAGTTACACCAGCATGGACTCTGTTGAAAGCCCATGGTTACACACGGTAACCCATGGTTACACACGGTAACTTCTGAGACTTAAACTGGTAGTGTTTATTTTCACAATTTGTTGTGTTGTCCTAATACTATTTCCCAAGGATAGAATGGGTAGTTTCTTAACAGTTAATCATTACAATATAGTACTATTGTAATTGTACTACTATTATATAATATCCTTAATAAACCATTTGGATTAAGATTTAATTTTGATTACAATTAATTACCTTTAATTTATTATTTTACCCGATAAAAAGCAGTAATAATACTATAATATAAGGCTGTAGGTATTGTTTTTGGATTGTTTTCTTTCTTACACTTGTTTAAAAAACATTTTACATGTATTCAGCTTTACATACTGTTTCAGTATAGTATACTTATAATGTTGTTACATAAGGCTTTGGTTGAGTCATGGGTTTTCAAACTCTTTTGAATGCCCATGGTTGAGTATAAATGTATGTGAAATTAGATGTATAGTATCTACTACATAGTGTGGTAATTTTATACCAAAAGCTTTTGCCAAAATATAATTTTATTTTCTGTTTAATATGTTGAATACTGCTTCATAATAAATTATATTGTATCAAATTTAATTGTTTGCTGCGAAATATTTTTTTTTAATTTGAATAAATCTGAAATAAATGTCAGCTAATTGATGTGAATCAATGTGTTGTTTTCCTGAATATCGCCCTAAGACATCTAGATGCCGAGTATGGTGAAATGCCCGTTGTCCTCAAATATATATGTTCTATCGTTTTTAACCCTTCAACCATATGGCGTTGCAACCATAATTCATTTAAACAACCCTTTCCTCTTATGGCATGACTCGTTCAAAGTCGATGTTTTCTTTTGCAATCTCTATTTTAATATCTGAAAAGGAAGTGAGATACCCGATCCAATATGGAAATTGTTAAAGATCTATGCAGGAGTCCAGTTTGTCCATAATACGCAGAGCTATTTATGCCATCGAACGAAGTTCGGAGTGATATAGGGAACGCCTCCGTCCGTCTGAACGTACGTCCACCCGTCTGCCCGGGCGATAACTAAAATACCGTTGACCCGATTTTGTTCATATTTTGTACATATATACCCTATGGGTGTAGAAGTTTTGCTCGAAAGCCGATTTTCAAAATGGCCGCTCGTTTAATGGCGGCCATTCTAGTGCTGATTTTACAGTAATTTAGGTACAATATATAAACTGTAATAGCAATATGTTTTAAATGTAAAATAATATATAGGACATTTATAAAGCTAGAAATGTAGATATTCAAGAACCAAACGGCAGCCATCTTGAAAATGGCGGCCTTTACATGCTATTTTACGATTTTTGCTTTAACTTGAAAAGTAGTGTAGCGATTTTGTTCATATTTGATATGCGAATACTAAAAGTATGGGACACTGTCTAATTGTAAATATTCTTTATTTACCTCTGATATAAGAGAGTTACAATTGTACATTAATTGTGAATTAACACATAAACAAGACAGTAGGTAAATTATTTGCTCATGTTTATGTTATGAAATTGTGAGCCTTGCTTGTCTTTTAATATACATTGAATGAATTATTACGACAGCTTGCAATGCAAGATCATCGTTTGAAAAATTGATACGATCTTCAACACTAGTTGTATCGTTATATTCATAGATTTCGTTTGGTACTAGCCTTTCTTGATCGTACATCTCGCAATGGTAAGGAAAATGTTCGATTGACATGACATGAGTGACTATTGATAAAATAAATTAAACCTTCATATAACATGCATCTTATCCGAAACATATTCGACATTTTACTAGACCTTACTAAACGTTTCTAATTACATTTTGGCTAGTAGGTGATCATTTTGAAAAATGGGCGTCATTTTACATGTACGCCGTGTGCGATTTTATTAAAAGTTTTATATGTGCCTATACTAAGAAGCACACTATATTACACTTTCTGATGACAATTTGGCCAGTGAGCAACCATTTTGAAAATGGTGGCCATTTTTGAGTGTGTTATTTTACGATTTTTGCTATATACTTCGTTTGTAAAAATACCAGCCATGTCTGTTCGATGGGATTTGCTACACTTTGGTGTTGCTTTTGTTGATGGTACGGGACAAGTTTCAGAGATACGAAGTCTAAAACCATTTTAAAAGTATCATTATAAACCTGAAGTGGAAAGAACCGCGAACCGTTCGCCCACCCATCATTCATAGAGTCACGTGACAGACTATACAGAGGTTGGTTCAGCTAGATTGTATTCCAAGCATGGAAGTCCATGTTCCAAGGTAGAATTTTTTATTCACAACTATGAACATGATGAAGTCACAAGACGAGATTGATGTACATAAAATGATGTGATGAGTGTTTAGCTTTTTGGTAATATCACCTTTTGAAATATGAGTTTTTCTTTTTCCAACAATCTCGTTTTCGCGTTTGTTAAGTTATCTGTTCCCCTTATAAAAAATACAACATTTTGAAAAATATCTGTGCAGCCTATTTTTGTCAGATTTGAGCATCACTTGATAGATTACGTCACAATAACACATTCCATGCATCTATGAAGAATAGCCGCCATATTCTATCAACCGTTCAAAAATATCAAGTACACATTTTTATCCATGGCAAGCCAGGAGGAATTATTATAAAGATTAGTTTGATTTTCTACAAAACATTTTGTGCATCATGAAGCCAAATAAAATTAATTCTACCGAGAAAAGTGATGGAAAATCAGTCGATTTGACGTCAATGCAGCTTTTGAAGATATTTCAAGGTGATGAGAAGTTCAAACAAGCATTTCAAAGTGGGGTGGTGAGTAGTAAAATGACTCTAAAGAGTTGCAAAATAAAGAAATAAATATGGAATCATTAGTAACGCCAGTCTGCCTATACCAGATTTATAATGTGTAGCCAGTTCAATTAAAACGAGATGCGGTTGTGGATACGTTTTAGCTTTAACAACCCATTGTGCGAAACCATGGGCTTTGAAAACCCATGGCGAAACCTATCTATTTAAGCAAACGTGTCGCATTGCATTTAATTTTATGCTTCTTTTTATCCCCTCTTGAGTTTGTATACGTATTGACATCAAAGCCGTTTGTTTTGAATTTAGATTTTAGAATAATGTTCCTTTCAGTTGGACATGCCTCCTTTATTGGTCGTCACTTCAATGGGTTCAGAAGAAGGTGTAGATGTTTTGCTTGGTTCCGGAGCGGATCCGAATGTCATCAACCAAATGGTATCTTCTTAATGAATACGGATTCCTTTATTATTCTTTATTTACATTTAAAAGCAAAAGTACATGTACTTAATCGTACACAAAAAAAGTGACAGGGTTCTTAATTGTGATTCTAGTCGTCTCTCTTCAAGACTGTGGACCCCTCCTTACCCCCCTCCCCCTATCTACTTTTCCAACACATTACTGATGAAAAGAAGATGGGAGGGGGGTTCAGGGTCTTGGAACAAGACTACTGGATTCACTCGTTTATAAAAATGACATTGTACATAGCCTATAGTTCTTTATGAATCCATAATGCACTGTGACGACGATATTATTTTACCAATATTGACACTGCTCAGTTCATTATGAAACCATAATGCATTGCAAAGTAATGTTTCTGCTCAGTTGACTATCCAATTGAATCAATTCTTATTTTAGGATGGTAATAGTCCCCTGATATTAGCAGCTAGAATTCGTCATGTGAACATTATGAAGAAACTCTTAGAGAAGGGCGCAGATCCGTCACTTACCAATAAGGTTTTGTTGCTACTTACTAATACATAAATATAAATCTTATATTAAAACACTAGGGTCATTTTAAATTAGACAGCTGCAATGATGGTATAATGACATCTAGGTACAAAAATAGGCCAATACTATAAGATCATAGAAATAAAATTCAAAACAAATAGGTGTTGCCCATTTTAAAATGAATTCATCCCGGCAAATATCCCATTGCTCCACCAAGTGTAGCTTGAGTAGTCTGAAATACGAGCGTTGGGGAGTGCATCAGGCAGCAACCATTGATTAAGAAATAAGTATACGCGTATCTGAACTCGTGCCTATCTGTATTGCAATCACAAAGGTATAACTCTCGAACAAACCAACTGTCATGCGTCTTCATCTAGTGAATGTGCTAGGTTTTTAATTCTGATCGGAAATCAAAAGCTGTACGTGTTAAATTAAAAATATCTATTCACAAAATTCAAATTCAAATTGAAAATGATTATGCTCGTTCAGAAAAAACGTAAATCAGTTGATCATTTTTAGGATGGGAACAATGCATTTATGGCGGCTGTATCTACTGGTGACGCTGGACCTGTTAATTTGCTCTGGCAATACAGATCTAAATTCAACATCAACCAAACAAACAAGGTAAAATTGGCACAATTATGATTCTCTTTAAAATAAAATAAAATACATGTACACAAAGGTCGACATGAAATTCAATTTTTCCTATTAAATAACAATCGTAGGCCCAACAGGTTGGAATCGGGTTGGAAATGACTGAGTCATGTAGTGAGTTTCACCCGATGAGGTTTGTATCCTATAGATGATATATTGCACCATACACGATTCACGTTTACTTACAGATCGGTTGCTCTGCCCTATACATTGCTGCCAGCCGTCAATGGGAGAGCTGCCTTAACATGCTCGTCTGCGGGGGTGCAAACAAGAACCAAGGAAACAATGTAAGGGTTCGCAAAATTTATTCACACTCCCCTTGCAAAAGTTGACAACTCTGCCTTTCCATCAGATGTTTATGCCTAAATTTTTCCTCGATTACATTTTTATTAACAAAGGTCGGAAAAATACTTGAGGATTCTTATAAGATTGCCAAAAATCAATAGCCATTAACACGTGCAATAGGAAAATCGGCGTTGCCGAAGTTTTGGAGAGGAAGTTTTGGAGGCCTGGGGAAGTTAGTTTGCACTATTTTCTGTTCATATCAGACATGCCATTTTAAAATAGTACATTGGTTTGAACGATAAGTCTGACATCTTGTATTAAGAGGTTTGGTATTGTTTTTTCAGCGTGGTATGACTCCGCTTATGACGGTTGCACTGAAACACGACAAAAAGTCCCTTGATCGACTAATCTCCTCTGGTGCCAACATTCTTGAAGAGAACAACGTAAGTGTGAAAGCTATAGTAGAACAAGAACTTATATCCTGAATTAACTTTCGATTATGTCTTACATCACGTTCGAGTCGTCTACGTACCTTTTACTTCCTCAATGATAATGCATACATATTTGTTACACAGGACGGAGTGACTGCTTTGTGCTATGCAATCAAGAAGAAAAATCAGGCTATTGTCGACGTGCTCATGTCCAAACTGGATTCTAACCAAAGGATGAAATACGTAATGGTAAGAACTACATCAATTTACCAAATGTTCAAGCTATATTCAAAAAATTCCAGAGGATTTTACCTTTGACATTTGCTCAGAATAATGAAAAGCTCCATGATTATGAACGATTTTTTTTTGGGGGGGGGGAGTTACGGTTAAATACATCATCGAATCAAATCATCACCGGTGTTCTCATTGATCGCGAATTCTAGTACATCATCGAGGAAAGGTTTAAATAAAAGTTTGCTTGGTTACAGGGACGAGATGTTCAGCTAAGCGTTTTGATCGGATGCACTGACGACGATATTCTAGAAGACGAAGACAGTGAAGAATCAATATCCTACACGTTGTTTGATGTCTTAGCCACTCTGTCTGAGCCCACAGACAAATACAACATGAGACACTTCATTTATGAGAATGACATTTTAGGAAAGTTGGTAACAATGGTAGAACGATACGCAGAGTTAGATCTCTTTGATAACGTTGATTTGATATTAAGAGATATTATGTTTCCTTTGATGTATAATCACACTACCAGGGAGATCGAGCTAGTATTCATGGGTCAGTTCATGGATGTTTATGGGCCAGAGGTATTAGTTGGTGTCACCAAGAAGAAGGGCCAGCAAGACTATGACATTTGTACCACTGTGCATGTCATGAGGATATTCATAGTAATGGGTCACTGCGCCATTGGCAAGATGTGGTTGTCTGAAAACTTTCACAAGGTGGCGCCACATCTTGCAACGTATCGAGATCATCATAAACACGTGTCACCGAGTAAACTGCTTTGGGAACCTGAGATTCTTGCCATGTGGAATATTTTCAAAGTGTGGTTTGAACATATGCATCGAGGTGAATCAGATAAACGCTTACAGGAGCTGATTGCTACAGAGGAACATGAAAAGCAAAGAAGGGCAAAGAAACGAGAGAAGAAGAAGCTCAAGAGAAGGCAGAGAAATCCAAGAATTAACGATGACTCTACAAGACCGGATTCTGATGGGATCGACGAGGAACTAAGTGAATTGACAACATCAATGAATACGCTTGAAATAGAGGCTTCTAACTACATTCGTGAAAATGCGACAGTTGACATCACACCAGCGACTATCAACAGTATGGCCTTGGAGATGCAAAACAAGTTATCAAAATCTGCTAAACGCAGACTAAAGCAACGAGAGAAACGAAGATTGAGAAAACCGAGTGAAAGTTCTGATACTTGTTCAATAGAACAGGAAATTCCATTGGAAGAATTTGAGATTGTAGTTAATAAAAAGAAAAAACGTCAGAAGAAACTTAAAAAGAGAGAAACAGAAAAGTCACGCACTGACTCGGTGTCTGTTGAATTAGATGATCCACTCAGAGCTTCCTTTAATGATTGTGAAGATGATTTGCTAACAGAGAGACAAACTATGTCTGCTGTAAATCCAAATAGCTTGCGTTCGGTAGAGTCTTGCCCTGTTATTGAAATTAACAGTAACCAAGACCAACATAGTACAATAGATCAAGATGAAATGTTTAATATCGCTAGTTGTACTTCCGCTGATATACAACAGTGTTCCTCCCAAAACAAAGATGAAACAGGGACACAAAATATCCAAAACGAAGTTCCGAATATGCTTAATGAAAACTTATTGATCTGTAGTCCATCTTTGCATGTAAGTAGTGAATCGAACATGGCATATAACATTCCGCCTAAATCTAAGGATCCATCGCAGACATCTGGTAATATGTCTTCACATCACAAAAATAATACTATACATATCCCCGAGGTATACACTCCATGTGAGAGTTCAGCAATGAAAGACATGGACATGGGGGCGAGTGTGGCAGAGGCTACAAACTCACATCTGTCAGCTGGTAATACAAATGTCAAGAAAACATGGGCAGATTTGGTAAGATCGCCAAATGGTGATACATTGCGATCACCAAATACATCAGGGTATTTAGACCAATCATTCAACAATGATGACGACCTCTCAGTGGACTACCCTGAAAAAGACTCCAGTGCAAAGCAGAGAGACAAACATAAACAAAATCTTAATCAGTTTCAGAGAGAAATACCCCCACGATTCAGGAACGTCAAGAAGGCACACGTAGAAATAAATGAATCTCAAAAGTTGAAAAAGAATGGCCTTGAAGTCAATGAATTGAATAATCATGTTGGATCAAAAGTTAATGCTATTTCATTGGACGACTGGTTGAATTGTAGCAATGCTAATATCTCCAATGATAAATACACGAAAACCGATGACACCGTAAACTTTATGAATTATAAAAATGCTGTCGTAGGAAAGCACGAACAAAACGAGTCACTTGCTAAAGCAACTGTATTAGAGACTATGCCTGACTCTCATGCAGAAGATGGACCCATAGACGAAAACCAAAATGTCGATATATGTGAAATGGATGTTGGCGGTGATACAGTTGTAAACGATAATGTTAGACAACAGACTCCGCCAAGTTTGAGTGTGATGATACAGCAACAGAACCAACTGGAGATGATGAAGAAACAGCATCAGGTTATGTTGCATCATCTTCATTACCAACAGATGTTAAGATATCAATCTGCACAGAACCGGAATGTTCCAAGACCTCCGTTCGTGCCCATACCTTCTTCATTACGCTTTCCTAACATACAACAGCTTCCCCAACCGCCTAACCTCAATCTACCTTCTTCGCATTTCCATCAAGATTCAACTGCAAAAGGACACGAACGTGTACCAAATGCCAAAGTAGCACTTGAATGTCCCCCATGTAAACCTGAAGAAACCCGGGATTCAAATAATAATCCTACATGTTATGGAAGGAATGGAGGGGAGAGATGTCAGCCTATACCAGAGTTTAAAATGTCAATTGAACCCAACGTTGAAAATCATAAAGGGCAGCAAAACAGGTTACCGCTATTACAACAAAACCTGCATACAAATGGAGAACATGTCATAGACGGATGCGGACAAAGAAATATACACATAGAAGATCAGTATATCAACGATAACATTTTGGGTATGCACCATTCTAATCCTGAAAGTGATTCATTCAAGTCACCAACTTCAGATGTTGACATATCTGGCACCAACAGTGTATCATTGGATGCTTCATCATTGAGTATCTCAAGCGTGGAGTCGTGTGTCGGTGGCATGAGTCACAGTTTGAACAAATCAGCATGTAATGAGTCATTTAACAACTTACAAAATGACTCTTACCCACTTAAAGAATGTCCATCAATGGTGTTACCTACGGATAAGAACTTTGCATACCGGACGCCAACACCTCCTGGATATATCCACATACGTACTGAACATCTGATGGATTTAAAAATGAAGCAATGTTCACCATACGACTTTGGAAACACGAGCGATTTCTCGGTGCTAAGCTCTGATTCAAATGGTTCAATAGACCAAGGTAAAGGCGACGTGCGTCAGGTGATCGCGCGACCTAGAATGTTACCTGTTGTTGATCCTAACATTTCCCTAACACAGTTGGTGTACTATCAATACGCCCAGGCCTTCGGTACCCTCGAAACTGGGAACGCACCACAGACACCTTGGACTCATACAAACTGCCCTCTTCAGAGAGTTATAGATGGCACATCTCCCATACAAAATCTAACAACCGAAGATTTAATTTGGTCACATGAAAATTACAATAAAGTGTATAGCGAGCAGATCTCAAAACAGAATATGAATCAATCGTACCCAGTTTCCAGCTCTGGTTCAAGCGGGACCGAGAATCTGTTGAATTCAATATATGACGTGAATTTCCAACAGGAAACTCTAGATGTTGGCACAAACTACTCACCAACACTGTCCAACAGATGTGATGATACTAGTCCACCACAAGAGATCTCAATCGATGGTCATGATAGTCCAGAAAGGATATCAGGCGACTGTAGCCCACATAAACTGTCAAAGGGATTCAACGATAGTCCACAGAAGATAGAAGACAGATGTAGTCCATGTAAGCCGTTAGATGAGAGTAATCATCCTCCATCAAATATATCAGACAAGCGTAGTGTTACACACAAAACTATTCCAAATCTCATGGACATCGAAGTCTACCCATTTAGAGATCTCTTGAAAACTAATTTACACCAAAATGACAATATTGAAGAGTTTGAGGTCGAAGAACTTCCACAATGGGCTGAGGATAACAGTGATGGTTCTCCCATCCACACTCTCGATGATTTGAACAAGCAAACAGAACTTTTCATCACTGATTTTGAAAAGCAACAGACACCTGACTCACTTAATGACAACTGCAAGCAAACAAAAGATGCGGCACAAAGCAATGCACCCAATATAAATGATATATGCTATAATGTCAAATCAGTAAATGAAAGAGAGGCTGACAATGGAAGCATTCCTGAATTCTTCCCTTCTGCATTTGATGACGTCATCAAACCTTGGGATTTTTCCACCGAATCTGACAAGGATACTACTGATGCTCAATTCTGTACTTCCAGTCCGAAGAAACAAGTAGATATAAACAGTAATCCAGTTGTACAACATATTCCTAGTCTTCTTGATCTTTCCCCAGTGAAGTTAGTAGAACCAAACACCATGATGATATCCGAACTTGAAAGAGTCCAACACAGTCGATCACAAAACATTCGCAGAAAAGTGATCGTTCCCAATGAGAACATCTCACATCAGTACCCACAACAGATTCCTTCTCTAGTCGGTGTAGCAAACGTCACCCAGGCGGAAAAACACCCAAACATCGTTCCAGTTCTCAAGAACGCGTCCATGGGGCCACTTCATTTGCTAAAGGGAAATTCAAGATGGCAGCCCAAGAGTCAGTTATGGATGCCTTACTTGCAGAATATCGCAATGACACCACCTGAACGGTGTATAACACTGCCCTCTGGTACCAAGATTGAGAGAAATTCGAGGTAAATTACATTTTTGGTCTGGACATGGCTCTATCTGGCCTATGGATAGTGAAAATTCTTTAAACATACTTTGTAAAGAGGTCAAATGCATATTGTAAAAGGTCTTGAATTTCCTTTTATACCTAGATGTTTCGCTTCTATATGCAAAAGTAATCTAGATGTGTTTTGGAAATCAGGTCGTGGCTCTTTCATTTTTAAATTATGTTTTCTATCTGTTGATGATAAGAACTGACCAGGTCACGGTTGTTTTGGGCATCATGACGGATGGAACAGAATGTGCTGTAAAAATCATCCCCGGGCCGAAGAAGGACGAATACAGAACTCTCACGAATGGGCTGCTAAGCATTTCCCATAGACTTCAAAGTGACTTCTTGCTCCAGTTTAAGGTATGGTATTCAGTATTATTGAAACAGAAAATCCCATCTAATAATCGTTTCCTGTAGGTGTTCAATTCAATAATTTAAAAAAAACATGTTGCAGTCTTAGAAAGATCTACGCTCGCCACAATTTTTTTGTTCAACTTCCGACTACCTTCGCAACAAAAAGTAGTTTTCCATTTTAACATTCAGTTCCAGAATATTTTTTTTTTAAATGTTAGGTTTCCAAGATTATTGGGGTTTTGTACGTCACAAAGATTTTTTGTCCAAACGCATATATCATACTTTATACTTTCTGTAATTGTTGATATGAATTTTAATGTAACGAATACGTTTTGTTTTAGCATTATGAAGAACATTGCAACATTGGTTTTATCACGATGGAGTTATGTGAGGAATCTCTTGATCTTTACTTGCATCGCATCTTGGAGACCCACCACGCCATTGATGACTGGTTGAAGAACAGACTCATCTGGCAGCTCTTGAAGGGGCTGCAACACCTGCATGACAATGTGAAGGTCGCACATGGAAACTTGAAGGTAAGCTACTGAAGTAAGCATGAAACTTGAAGATAATATAAATTATTGAAATGACTCATGCACTAAGGTATCTGATGATAAGCTGGGGGACTCAAACGTCTAAACGTTGGTGTAAATATCATGCAGTAATCGCAAATTGAATTCAACGTATTGAACTACACCGGTGTTCTTTTCTTGCTTGATACGATTTTGTGAGTCTTGAGTCTAGCTACAAACCTAAGTACCTTTCAACTACACACCTCCTGTGTGTAGTTGACTGTGTAGTGACTGTAGTCAAGGAGTGGGAGGGGGCTTGTAGCTAGACTACGAGTCACGCTAAATCGAAGTGACATTTTAACATTTTGACTTCATAATCATACCAATCCTTTCGTTTCCTTAATTTTGTTTCATTTCAGCCTCAAAATATACTGATTGATGATGAAGGCCGTCTAAAGATGTCAGACTACCGACTGCCTTCGAAATTCTCTGCAATCAATACCGATAGACGGCCAGGCTCATTCGGATGTAAGAATTTATTAGAATTTCTCAGGATATTCTTATCAACTGTTTTACCCCAAAAATCTACAGCTTTACACTATTAATGGTGAACAAAATACAAAGTTAACAGTCATATAATCAACATACAGTATATGTTTTCTAGGCAATCCTCAATGTTGGAGATCATCTGAAATGTTAAAATGGATGACAGACAGGCAAGCAGTTTTGCCACCTCATGGAACCGCTGCTGCGTTCGAGCACACGTTTAACAGTGATGTCCAGGTAAGAGTATCATCAAACTTTGGAACGAATTTTCCCTTACGTATTTAGTTTTCATACTTGAGATTGAAAATCAAACTGATACATATGCTAACCGATTCATGTCAGTAGCTTGGGTTGTTGTTACTAGAATTTTATTTCTTTTTTCCACTGAATTAACGTTTTATTGAATTGGGGTCAATATAGACTGCGACACACACACTCCATAAATACCTCCAGGTAGCTGGGATGTTGGTATACTACATTCTGACGCAAGCCCATCCATTTGGCGACAACCCTGACGTTATTTACAACAACTGTTCGAGAGGCTGGGCTAGTATCACTGATCTCGATGAAGAAGCGTCTGACCTAGTAATGATGATGATTACTTTCCCTCCACACGAGCGACCACGAGTGAGCGTGACACTTAGGCATCCTTATTTCTGGGCCGAAGACAAGAGGCTCCGATTCCTCCTTCAAGTCGGACAGGATCTTGCCCACTCAAACGCCCCCGAACAGATAAAGGGACTGTTGAACAGCCAGAGTTTTAGGATCATGAAGGCTTCTTGGTGTGGCCTTGTCCACAAGGAGTTGTTGGATTTGATGCGTGACGTCGACTCTTACAGCTACAATGCCAGCGTTGTGGATTTGCTAAGGTTTATACACAGTTGCTGCAAATATTATCAAGCCATGTGAGTACATTACCGTTTTAAAGGTTTTGTGTTTTTTAAATGAAATACAATTGCAACCTTAGCCTACATACTGTAAGTATACGTCAATGGAATGTATTGCTGTGCAAAGGAGTACATTACGATATGATGTAATACAAAACCTTACGATATCACTATACAATACATTGCATTTACAAAGCAATGCAGAATACAATACACAATATGACTTCAACACAATACAATACAATACTGTACAATACAATACAATATAATACAATAATACAATACAATACAATTGATCATGCTTTGGTATTCAAGTGAAACACAACTATAATTAATTATAGACAATTTACACAATGCTATACAACGCTATTTATCATTCAATTGTATTTATACTTTTAGAAAAACAGAAAAAATAAATTCATACAATTTGCACATTTGAAGTGTTGCATCAAGACTGCAAGGTGTCTATATCTATATAATTCTTTCCAGGAACGGAGAGTTGCAGGAACTTTTACGGGACAGATACCAGTACTTCACTGCTCGCTTCCCCAGGCTTCTCGTGTCCGTCTACAGAGTTATCAAGACTACTCCCTGGACAGAGCGAGGAGCATACAAACCTTTCTTCTGATCTTTGACCATCAGTTCAAAGGCATCAAGCGAATATGGACAGATTTATGTACAAGTGACATATGTTGGTTGGGCAATGAATTAAAAAAGTCTAACTACAAATATATAGCCTATATTATTATTTTTCAGTAAAATGTTTACATCCTGGGTCGAGCCGAATTGTGAAAATGGCTCAAATGAATAGGCTAATCACGCGTATTAATAAAATGCTAATAAAAATATATTTACCAAGGAAAAATCACCGGAACTCTTCAGTTGCTAGCATCTCATTGTGGCACTCCAATGGTCAGTATCAGGAAGTTACGGCGGATCAATGCTGAATGTTCATGGCAAAGTGAAAATTGACATTTATGGTCCACCATTTTGAAAGACAGGGTCACGACTGTTACCGTTTCCTGATACCATTCCATCGGCGATTATATGCAGGTATCATATGAACAACGATCATGATTTATTTATGTCGGATGTCCTTAAAATAAACAGTTACAACAAAATCATTTTCATGAACAGATTTTAAATTGTAGCATAGGCTATCATAATGTATAAAACTGTTGTTATGCAAGGTGACCAGAGTCGAGGATCACAAAACAGAAACCATTATACAAAAACTGGTTATTTTGACTGTTGATCATCAAAGAGAGCCTGGTTATTTTGACCTTAGATCATCAATACATCAGCTAGTTGTTCGCTTCGATCAAAATCATATTAATGCCACTAACTAACTATCCTCAAATTGATTTAGTGAAATTCGAATCGCGCTCTGGTTGTTTGATTGGAAAAGTTTCCGCATGGATGCGCTAAAACGTGCTATCTTGAAATTGAAATGAAATCTGATTATTTGGTGTTAAGACGAGCAATGAAGATGATCGGATGATGAACAACTCTGATCAAGTCACTGTATATAATTCAACTGTGATAGACATTTGTGACTCTACTACAATTAGCTGCTAGATGTTGAATTACTGTATTTCCTTGTTACCTTTCCCCTCATCCGTCCTTAAAATCGTTAAACGGACTGTGGTCGGGGTGAAATGACTTTTAGCTAAAGATACGATGCTAGTTCGTGTATAACCCACATTTCAAACAAAACTAGTTCTTCGTTCTTGAAATGGGCTTAAACGGTGTATGAACGGACTGAACCTACTTAAATCCTTTCGGGGGTATATTTACAACGTATTCGAACGGGTAGGTCATCCAGAACTTAGACAAGCTGGACGTAACTACGAACGGAACTGTCGTATTCACCTTACTAGGAGTAGGGACGTATTGAGAACGAGGTGAGAACTGATTGTCGACGGGCTTAGACTGATTAAGGACGTAATTGCAATGCTTAGATACGTTGTGTAGTCGGAACGTTTTACGGTCTTTATGGACGTGCTCGGACGAGAAGGTGATTTCGATTTCGAACCATTTGAAAATTCGATGGCGACCATAAGATGTTTGACAACGTACTCCAACCGAGATGACTTCCGACTACGAACGCCGTTCTTCGAACCTCCGAGGGATGCGTTAACGACGCTGTGCAATCAGATAACACTTGCAGCCCGTGTGCAAACCGACACGATGCGACCTGAACGAATTGTAACCCCCCTATCACACCAAACTAGTTCTTACCCGTTCTTGCCAGTCCTACGAAAACGTCGTAAAACGGGCTCAATCTGGCTGTGGTCGGGAAATATGTCTGAAATAATTAGCTTCTTCGTTCTTAAACAGTCGTCAATACGTCCATCTCGTTCGCAGTTCGTTCAGGTCGCACCACGTCGGTGTGCAACGTCGTAGAACGCGTCCCTTAGTCTAGAAGGTCAACATGACCTGATTACAGAACGGTATGGTCGCCATCGAATTTTGAATCGATTCAAAATTCTAAAATCACATTCCCGTCTGAGAACGTTCATAAAGTTCGTAAATAGACCTTAGAAAGTTGCAGCTACGTTCATTCCGTTCGCACACAGTTTAAAACCAGTTTTGAAGAACGCAGTGGCAACTTGTTTGGTGTGATAGCTTTATTTTTGCTAACTCGTTCATAAGCAGTGTTAAATACGTTCTTAATCAGTTTAAACCCGTTTGCAATTAGTTCTACCTCGTTCTCAACACGTCCTCAGACAGTTCAACTCGTTGTTAAAACGTCCCTAGTAGGATTGAAGTACGACGGTTTCGTTCGTAGTACGTCCAGGACGTATTGAAGACTATAAATGAAGTAGCTATATTTCCAGTCCAGAGCCAGATTTAGCCCGTTTTACGACTTTCTTTTGTAGAACTGGAAAGAATGGGTGAGAACTAGTTTGGTGTGATAGGGGGTTAACAATGTTCAATCCATGAACCAAGATCGAGGATGTCGACTAAATGAGAACCTAATACGCATTTTTGGAATGTCGTAATTGCGACTGAGAAAGTACATTTGTCGAGTTTTGTTTGTCTATGAACAGGATAAACGAGCTGTACAATGGGATGGACGTCAAGAAGAACAGACTCAGGCCATCATGCCCTTCCGAGCACGTTCATAACTTGAATAAAAAGACCCTAAAAGGTTGTAACTACGTACAATCCGTTTGCATAGTTTAAGCCCGTTCGGCAAAATTTTGGAAGAATATAGTGAGAAACAGTTAAGTGTGAATGTAGTTTAAACTGGATCGTTGATAAATAGTCTATTTTCATGCAGTCCAAGTTCGTCAGTTTGTTTGTTTGTTTGTTTGTTTGTTAGTACGTCCATCTCGTTTTAATTAGGATATCGGTCTAATTAGACCATTATCTTCGATGTGAAGATATGCAAGAAATAGACATGCTGCATATATGCAACCCTAATAAGGTCATATCAAAAATATAGGTAGGGCACCACCCCAGTCTTACTCTGCCCTTCTCGCGGATCGGGTGCATCCTGACGACAAAGATCAAGACTGCAGCGAGTTCGAAGATAATATCCCGAGGCCTATTCTGATTTGCTCTAGAGCTACTTGCAACGCTTTTTTATATTCAACCTGGGATGCCTTCATCCTATTTGTCGATATCCGACCGGATCTAATCTGATGATTTAATTTGATTTAGAAGTCATTATATCTATTAATGCTTCAATTTTTGCAGTCATCAGGGAATATGATTACTTTATAAAAAGGTGAACAAGATCGAAGTGTATTTAATATATTCATTAAGATTATAATCATGTAATATTTCTGATTAGGAACTAAGAAGAGACGGCTCCTAACAAAAGACATCGTGATTATTTTTCGCCGACTTGAGTCCGTAGCTTATTAGCGTAATGGATCGTGATAGGAATGGGAGTGTCCGACGTACCAAAAACATCATTTCATCAATTCACATCTTGACAAAGCGCCACTCTGTCTTTTTATGGTATTATGGAAATTAAAGGTAGTAATAAAGGTACTCAGTCAAATTCATTTGATGAAAATGGCAATTGATCACGATTGCAATTTTGTAACATCTTAGATAGGTAATAAGACTAAGTGATGAACCCTGAAGAACGCTTTGTATGTTAAACAAAACCGCCATGGCACATTTATGCATCTAAGTCTATGATCTTCTCGAAGACTAGGAACGCATAAATGGCAAACAAGGGAAAGCACAAACGACAGACCTATACCTGTTACATTTGACACGGTTACCCTACAGCGGCCGTAGCTTCCCAGAATCGAGAGAAATACGCATCATAACATATCATATGAATAAACAGTCCGATGTCAATTTTGTATATCTATTTTGAGATCGGTCGCTGTACGGCTGCTGTAGAGCAATAACTCAGATGCAATTTGTATAGGTAGTTACCAGTTTTACCACCAGGTGGCTTATTCGGGTCAGATAACATGGCGGGTATAGTAGAAAGTTCCCTTTAATTTAGATATTATCAGTTTTAGTGGTTCAATTTTCATATCACCTTTACGTATCAAATAGTATTCTAATTAACAAGAAAGGATATTTCACTTTTTGTGATTTTATAACATCGGGTCTAAGGGAATCTCCTCGAACTAAAAGTCACATTTTCCAAAAACATTAAATTTTCAAAGTTGATAAACAATTTTCAAAACCGTATTTCTAGATGTTCTTTTACATGTAGATTTCAAATATGACACCACTTTGACTAAATTTTGAATATTAAACAATATGCGAGAAGAAATAATCTTGATTTTCGTCATTAGTATAGAGGGCTTAAGATGAACACATAAGGCAAACCTGGGGAATCAGAAACGGCAAACATATGAAAAGCATAGCTTTTTGAGCCTCTACACAATTATGATGATGCAAAGAATGTTTGTATCAAATGATAGACTCGGTTGTATATATCTGGGATGTGCGTAATCTATCTGAATAAATCGGTTACTAAATGCACAAAAAGAAAGCAAATGGAAGCGACTCTGGACGGTTGAAGTCATAGAAAATATGGTTATGTGTCAGTAAAACAGAAAAAAGAATGTGACTCATTGAAGAATCTTTCAATGGCAGTGATGTTCAATTCTGCTGCTTTCCAACTTGCGATTCAATTGACAGAATTATCCATTAAGGCTTAAAATGATTTCTTCCGATCAGGAAATACAACTTAATCAGTTAAAAATAAATCTGATTTGGTCCAGAGCAGTTAATCCGAGCGCTAGCAACATTTGAACGGTAATGTCATTAGGTGGGATCTTCTTGAAAAATTATCTAGCTTGATTGAATCCGAGACTTTGATAAGTGACTTTTGCGCAAACGATATCACACCACGCCCCCTATCGACAGTTATAGATGTTGATTTTGATGGCTGAATAATCCCTCCTGAAATCCCTACAAGAAATCAATTTAGCTTCTAAGACACATACTCATCTGTATCTAGCATAATTGCTTTTTGCTCGCTTCATTTTAGGCGATTTTAAATGTATCACTTTACAAAGTGATCCATTTTATTGAGTAGAGGACTACTTTTGACATTTCTATTACGAGAGAGCTTAGATGCATCTAATTGATTCTATTTATCGGCACCAGGGCTTAGTACTTGGGAATCATCATTGACACGGC